TCAAATGATAAATTAATTGCCATATCTAAACTTTGTGCCAATTGTTCCCCATAACGTATTTCATCTGTTGGTGATTTAATAAGTAAATAAGGAAAAATTCCATGCAAATGAAGGCAAACTTTCTTTCCTGTAAAAATAAGAGTCATAAAAAAAGATTTTCCTTGTTTTTTGTTTTGTTATCTTAATTTTTAATAAAGTACCCTCTTCATTCGGTCCGAATATTCGAATGATTGGTACTTGTTTTATCGGATGTCGTAGTTTAGAATATACAGGATCAAATCGTGAATTAACCGATGTTACATAATGATCTGTGAGTACAATTCGTACTGATATCATTATTTAATCTAGTTGATTATTTATAGAAAAAAGAAAATAGAGAAAAAAATTTTATTATATTCTATCCGATTGGATTTTTTTCTTTTCTTATTATCTTTGTTTTTTTTTTTATTAATTTCAAATATCATCCATGAAACAAAAATTTTTATAAAAACAACGGAAACAGAGTTCATCAATATCAATTTCTGTAGCACCCGTTGACTGCTTGTATTTGTTTCCATTTGGATGAATTGATGTATTTTATTTCGATCGTTCACGCATACCTTAATAAAAAAAAAAAAAGAAAAACATTAAAAAAAAACAAAGTTTTGTAAAAATTCGTTTTAACTTACGTCTTCTTTTACGTTTCAAACGTCGCATTCGTTTCTTACGCCATTTAGCTCGCATCGTTGCTTAATTGAAGATGCGAAATCTACAGTAAAATGAAAATATAAAAAATAATCAGTAACCCACCGATGAAAAAATGAACATATTGTTGCTGCTCGGTGAAATATTTTCATTCGTTTCAATATGTAATCATTTCACCTCCATGTATTTTCAAAACATCTATGCACTTTATAAATTTTTAATTTAACTTTAATTATTTAAATCAAATTTTCTGAAAATATTAATTAAAAAATCTAATAAATCAAATTGAATTTATTCAAATGGATATAAACTTCATTTGTTCTTTCTTTGTTCGCGGCTGCCGATATCGTTCATTGAAATATCGTCAGATCTAGTTCATTGTTCTGACGTGATTTTCTTTTTTTTGTCGTAGTTATCAGAATTCATCGTCATCTTCTAGATCGTTTCGTTCTTTTTTTATTTTTATTTTAAATAAATTTACAATCATGCGTCCATCAATAAAACGTCCATCAGTTATAATACCTCGTCCAACAAAAGCTTCATTAGCTCGTCAATCTAAAATTCGAAATTCTATTCTTGTTGCATCAACAACAACAACAACAAATACATTAAAATCAATACAAAATGAAGATATAAAAAATGAAAATGATTTAACTACAATTGGTCTTATTAAACAACAAGTACGACGTGCAACTACAGTAACAAAAAATAATGCTGTATTTAAACGACGACGTTCATTACATAAATTAGCTGTTATTGTTTCGGGTTCATCATTAGATAGTTCTACTAGTGATGGTGAAAAATTAAAACAAGTTGTAAGTTAAATAATCTTTTTTTGTATTTTAATTAATTATCTTTTTGAAATAGATTGTTGCTTCATTAACTGAAAATGTTAAAAAAATGGATATTGTTGAACAACCAAAAAATAAAAATTTAATTAATAATGATAATAAAGAAAATCGTCAATCAAAACGTCCAATAACAACAACAACAAATGTAATACGTAAAAAACCAATACAAATACCAATACAAGTACTTGATAAATATACTGCTGAAGAAATTATAATTGAAATTATTGAACAAGCTTTAACAAATGATGATTTACATATAGATGATGATGATGAACCTATTGATCCAACATATGCTATGGATTATGTTGCTGATATTATGAATTTATTATATGCATTAGAAAAAAAATATTCTATACAAATAACATTTTTAACAAATCCACCTTCAACAACAACAACATCATCATTTCCATTAACAACAATGGCTACAATGGCAAATGGTAGTGCTACAAAACCATGGAAACTTACAACAAAACATCGAACTATTGTTGTTGGATGGATTATACAATTATTTTATGCACGATTTCATTTATCACAAGATGCTATGCATCTGTAAGAATCAATATATTTTTTTTTGTTAAGCTGTCTATAACAGTTAAATATAAAATATTATTAGAATTTAGATAGAGAAAAGTATTTCTGTATGAGTATCTACATATTCATAAAAATAAGTAAAGCTCGCCCATCAAAGTCTGGAGTTACATCAGTAAACCAGTGGAATATTTGTACGCTTACATAGTAACAAGTTTATTCTTCATATGTTAAGTAATGAACAAAAATATGTCAAAGAGACATTTGTTGTAACAAGTAACATAAAACGAAGTGCATACGCTTGTCAAAAAGTCTGACTCCATATCATTCAGGCAACATGGTTCCAACGAGGCCAAGACCAATAGTTTTTTATTTGAGAGGGTGTATTGTTACGACTCATGTGTAGGGTTGCCGATATTTTTCGAAGAGGAGAAGAACGAAACTTATAGTGAGGACCCTATTCCAAATTGCTACGACAGTGTCTACTTATTCTTATTTCATTTTTTGTCAGAGAAAGGTAAATGGTATTTCGAAATCCAGTTTCTGTCCAAAGTTACTATGAAAAATTAACAGGAGCCGCCATTCTAATCGAGAATCCGGCTCAGGTGTTCTACCTAGATATGGATGAGATGTTACCGGAACCAATTGTCTTACACCGAAGTTTAAATGTACGAAATCTGTCCGTGTACATGAATACGTGTTCGAAACTATTGAGTCTAGAAATTCGTTGAATTATTTTTCCGTTCGAAGAAATTTCTTTTTTTACAGCATATTCTACAAGAATCGGAACTAAAAACAACTCATGAGAATCTCTTTTGATAAAGTTAACAAATATTTTTTTTTAGTTGTATCGGTTTACTTGATCGTTTTCTTCAACAGTGTATGAATTCAGCAACAGCTGGTAGTGGATTTGTTACACAAAAAAATTTACAATTAATTGCTGTAGCTGCATTTCTTATTGCAGCTAAAGTTGAAGTAAATTAAATTATTTAAACTTTCAATATTAAATTCTACAAACAAAAAACAAAAAAATTGTTTTTTTTTTTTTATTATCTAGGAAACACATCATCCACCTGTTGATGAACTTGTATATGTTACTGATCATACATATACAAGTGATCAAGTAAAACGAATGGAAAAAAAAATTCTACTTGAATTACGCTTTGAACTCAATCGACCTACAAGGTAAAAAAAAAAGTTTTTTTTTTTAATATAAAATTAAAAAAACAAAGAATTTCTTTTAGTCTTCAATTTCTTCGTCGTTATTCATTTATATCAAGTGCTGGTGATGAACAACATGCTATTGGAAAATTTCTTATTGATATGTCATTACTTGATGTTTCATGTATTGGTTTGGCTCCGTCACTTATAGCTGCAAGTGCAACATATATAGCACGTTATATTCTTAATCCAAATCAATTATTAACATTTGAACAATATTGGCCGTATGAATTACAAATTCGTTCACCATATAAAACATATGAATCATTATCAAATGGTATAAAAATTTTAGCACAATTTATTGATAAATATTTAATAGGAAATAATTCAAAAGAATGTGAAATACTTATTAAACGTTATGAACATGAACAATTATCACAAGCAAGTTTATATTGTATACAACAACAAACACTTATTCATAAATTAGCAACTGAAGGAATTTAATATCATTTCAAAAATACTTATCTATATATTTCTTTTTCTTTTTTTTTTCTTTGTTATTATTGTTCTGTTTATTGTCTCTATTGTTCAATCAGCACTGTGCTTTCGAAAAAATGATGGATATATATGTTTGTTATTTATATATATTTTTTTTTTCTGTGCAATCGAATGAGATCTAATTCTATCTGGTTTCTTTCCTTTTGTTATTGTTGTTGTGTTAGATTGTTGATCTTTAGATGTATTCATCATTTCTTATTATTTTTTTTGAATTGTATAAGATCATCATATTATCATCTTGATTCTCTTTTCTTTTCTTTCTTTTTTTTGTTCTTTTTCTTCTTCTTCGTCTTTGACTTGTGTATGTTCTTCTTTTCTTTTTCTCTTATAATGGAATAGAAAAAAAAACAATAAATTGAATTCAAAGAAATAAATATCTACATATAACATCGAATGAATATTAGGTTTTTTTTTTTTGTTATCACTTATGAGAGATTTAGGACATCTGAAACACAATCTAAATTAATTGTGTAGTAAATCTTTTCTATTTATTCACGGTTTAAAATTTTTGAGAATATTCACAATATAAGACAGGTAATGTTCTTTTTCTTTATGATGTTTGTGCTACAGATAAAAAATGAAACATAATTCAATTAGTATGAAAATATATTGATGTTAAATATTAAATGTTGATATATATATATTTGTTAGTCAACTTTCTTTTAAAAAAAAATTCACAATAATCTCATTGTAAAGTTCAGAGATTTGCGTGAAATTTGTCAGAAAGTCATTGGAGATTTCGTAAGAGCATACAAAGAAAATTCCGATTATTGGAAACAGTTGTATACAATATCATTTATCATTGTATTTAAATACGTCGCTCCTTAATGACGGAAAGGAGGACGTAAGTTATTTTCTTTTTCTTCGGAAATAGAAAATTGTTATTGATATCTTTAAAATAGTACTTACTATTTTTGGTTGTTATTGTTGAGATTAATTGCGACGAAAAGAATTAAGTTTATTTCTGACAACAACGTCGACTGTTAAAGTTTTTGTTAATATCAACTTCAGTAGACTACCGTATAGAATTAATTTTTACCAGTTAATACTTATAATTCAAATCTCTCAATTTGTACTTTCTAAAAATTTTCCAGATTCCTTAGAAATTTTTGAAAAACTTTCGCATCTTCCAAGAAACTCATTGACCGTTCTACAAGTCAGAATTGATTACCATTGAATACCAAATAACAAAAAGTTGAATTATCAGAAAAAAAAGCTACAACGTTATTCTAACAGGCATTATATCAAATATTGTATTCATGATAAGTTAACATTTCAATAAATTTATAAATTCTAAAAACTATAAACATGTTCGATATTAACTGATATCTTATTATTATTATTTTATTTTCTTTTTCAACTTTTTGTATAAAATAAAAATGAATTTCAGTAATAGAACCGATAATATTTTGTCAAAAAATCATAGAATATATGTTGATTCACGGATGTTATATTATAATAATTTCATGCGAAAATCTCTCTTTATATGACTTGATCTTTTATTAAACTATTAAAATAATTTCGACATTAAAAAAAGAAAAAAAAAAGCTAATCCCCCAAACACTTCTCTATATTCATTGACAATTTGATATCTATAATAGTGATAGTAATGAAACAAATTATTTTTATTCTATTATGTAATATATATATAAATCTATCATGAAAAGAAAAAGATATAAACAATCTAATATATAATTATAGTAGAATACAATTATCTATAAATCTAAATAGAATTAAAATAAAATTGAATTTTTTTTTTTTTTTCTTTCTGTTAATTTATTATATGTGAAAACTTTCCAATAGATTCAATTGATAATTTTTAATATTATTGACGTATGTCAATTTAAATAAAAATTACATACGATTCTAAAGAAAAATTAATTACTAACGATGAATTGAGTCACTTTGAATATTATGATAAGCTTTGTGATCGTGCATGTTTAAGTTTCTTATATCGGACTCAATCCCAAGTAAATATAACAATGTTGGATAAAGTCTATTTGTTATTATTCATAGTCTATGTGAACATTACTGGCCGGATCTATTCATTGAATTGATAGAAAAGAAAGAAGGAAAAAAAAAATTGTCCTCCGAATGATGAGACCCTTATGTTCTCAATGTTAATTTCGGTTATATATGCATTTAAATTAACTTCTTAATACTTTTCTGTTTTCTTTTTTTTTTTTTTTTTTTTTTTTTTTGTTATTCAAAGAAATATAAGGATATAACAGATCTAATGCAAAATTGAATAACTGTTATTCTAATAAGATGTGAATGGATCACTGCTCTTGATGGAAGAGGTTAATATAAATTCTCATTCATAGTTACTTAGATTATATGGAAGAGTTTATGTGTATTTGTGTGTCTATTTGTGTTCAGCTAATTAATGGCAAAAATGTGTCCTTATATAAACATAGACAATAGGAAAAAAAGACAGAATGTGAATGATTTAGTGCCAATGTATATTCATGTGTATGTGTGTGTGTGTGTGTGTGTGTCTAATCCGAGTTTTATTGATTTGATGAACGAGAAAAAAAAAACGAAGAGTCTATCGTCATCGATTGGATAAATAGTCAATGATGATGAAAAAAGCAGCATTGGCAACGGATGTTATTGCGTTGATACGATCTATGTTATGTAGTAAAGTCAGTTACAGTGCCGCACGATCTTCGGTGCATACTTATCCGATAATTGAAATCACTGTAGCACTAAATGCTCATCATGTTACGCCTATGTCTTAATTGCTTAAGGGCACTGACTGACTAGTAGGACTAATACGACCATCAATTTCTTTCTTGTGTTGATGAACATGAAGCCTTATACAAGCAAATAATCAATCAATACTATTACACATTTTCTATTTAGATATATAAATAGATATTTTTATATTGAATATAATTATCATAATTTATATATATATCTATATATATATATATACACATAACAATTTTGATTCAAGAAAAGAAATAAAAAAAGAAGTCAATATCAGTATGTATTTTTTTTCTCTGAAAAAACGATTAGATTCGGATGAACAAAAGAGATCATAGAAATTGTTAACAGAAACAAATAGAGAAACGCAATAAAAAAAAAAAAGATCATCTTTAGTAATAATCTCTTTTTCTTTTGCCGACATAGACACAATTTATCGATTTTTGAACGGCTGTTATTTTGATAATATGACATCATTCTATATCAGATACGTTCACATCTTAGAATTATAGCACACTTGCTAAAACTTCTCTCAATAGAAAGAAGAAAAAAAGGAAAAAGAAAAACGACTCGCTTGAGAAATCAACATATTGTTAGTTCACCGTCTTCTATTTCGGTAAGGACTTCTGCTTAAAAAAAAAAAAAAGGAAATGATTGAATTGTGCACGAGCATATAAGTCTTCTTTTTTGTTAAGCAAAATTTTCTTCTTTCTTCTCTATTCATTTTGCCGATTTGAGACGGAAAACACGGGTTACACACAGTAACCACATACTTACATACAATCTCTCTCAAGAGATTATATCTCGATGACATCTAGCTAGACAATAACTATACAATATTCTTGTTTACAATAGATCAGAAAGGCGTGACCGATCTATTCGAGCAATAATTTAAGTCGACAGCTGCATGATGCAATAGTAAGACAAAGCAGAAGAAGAAAAAAAGAAATGAGGAGGAGAAGAAGAAGAAGAAGAAAAACTTCAAATTGATGAATATAGTAAAATTTGATTACTCAAGTGTAGGTTAATTTTTCAGTTATGTTCTGTGCTTTTCAAGTTTCTTTTTTATTTTTTTTTTTTTCTTTTTCTTTTTTTCTTTTCTATTTGTTTGTCGTATCCGGTGGTACATGTTGGGAGTTTCAAAGCATAATACTTAAACTAGTTTATTTTTCTATGTTTCTTTTTTTTTCCATTCCTTCTTTTTTTTTTTTTTTGAAAGTATGTTCTATAATGCCGATCAGACAGGCAACATTGTCGTTTATGGTATGTATACCGTGATGCATTATCACCGTTGTCTTATTGCGTCAAGGTTCCGGAAATAACTGTGTGTGCCAAGTGCATAATGAATTCTCTCCATCACGTCGAGCAAACAAACCAGCATGTTTAATCACATCTAGAATGATGATTAGGTATTATTAGCAGGAGGTTTCATGCGCGCCTAGATACATCACGTTCATTACAAACTAATATATTATGTTTTCTTTATTACCTTAACATTAAAAACAAGAACAACTGTGAGTAAATCCAAGGACTATATATAAACTCTCCATGATATGACCATAGATTGTCATTTTCACAGTGGTTTTTCTATGAATAGAAAAATTCTATGTTCTTTTACAAGTATACATATGTATATATGTAGTCATTTGTAATCATGCATTGATGAATTCTATTGGATAATACAATTTTTATTTAGTTTGGTTCTGTAGTCATCTTCTATGAACTGATGTCATCGGCTTATTGCCGTTTCCAAATGTTGATTGAATAAGTGTTGTTACAACCTTGTTCTTTATCACATTGGTTTCTTTTTTCTTGTCTTATTGAAAAGAAACAAGCTAAAGAGAAAAAAAAAAAAAAAGAAGAAAAGACGATAATCAAAATCGCAAACCACTTCTCCGCCTGGTGATCCTTTTAACGACGAAAGAGAAGAGAATGGACGTGAACATGTAAGGCAAAAAAAAAGCGACAATAATAATAATAATAACAGTGGAAAAACGAGAAAAGCGGGACGAGCAAGAAAGTCAGAAAAATAGATTGGAATTTTTTTTTTTTTTTTTTTTTGGTTGCCACATATTTTCATGTGTACAGGGAAAATAAAGGAAATCAGGCGCTCATCTGTTTGTGGTAAATGTGCATTGAACATAAAAATGTATATTCCGGCGAATAGAAAAGACGTGTAACTAATTAGTTCGTATTTTTTTCCTATTCATTTTCTCATAATATTGTATTACAATGGCATTATCCAAAGACAAGTGATTTATATTGAACAGTGATCGTCAAAACGACGAGCGTCTATCAATTTGACAAGGTCAGTCTTCTCTCTAATAGTCAGTTCACAATAGAATTGCTGGTCAGTAACATTCAATTTACTCAATAAATAAATCATCATCTTCATTCATGCCGACATCATTCATATAAACTATCGGTACTCTTCTTCTTTTTTCCTTTGAGCAATAGAGAGAGAGAGAGAGAGAGAGAGGGGGTCAAAGAAATAAAAGAGAGATGAAATATCTGCCAACCCTTTAAGCGTTTATCACTTGGATATCTTTCATTTGTAAGATTTGTAATTATTTAACGATTTGTTGATTGATACAAATGCTATTTATTCGTTCATTTTTTTTGTGTCTATCTGCATATGTTTGAGAACAAAAGACAGCAGTTGCAGTCAGAAGACAAAAGATAAGCAATGAATATAGTGTTTGTTAAAAGAAGAAAATGATCATTGTCAATACGTGCTCGATATTCATTTCTTAAACAGTATCGTCTATCATCAACAATAGAGACATAAGTAGCATCATTTTCTATATATCAATTATTTTAATAAAAGAAATAAGAAAAATAATTTTGTTTTGAAGAACAAAACACTATAATGTCTTAGGAGACTTTTTTCTTCTTTAGTTTTTTTTTTATTTGCTTTTGTTTAAATAAATGATAAATGTATTAGTGATCATTTGAAAGATAGATAAAAAAATGTAATGATTATGATAAGGAACTAACTTTGTCAGTAAGCGCGTAGGGGGGTAAAAAATGATTCATTTCATTTCCTTCCTTTTTTTTGTTGATTCTAAGTAGGAAAGAAAATGAAGAAGAAGAAGAAGATGATGATGATGAAGAAGAAGAAAAAAAGTTTGTCAGATAGATGGATAGAGCTAATCGAATCTATATCAAAGACTACTTCTTCTTCTTCTTCATTCTCTCTCTCTCTCTCTCTCTCTTTTTTCAATCGTACTACTCGATAGACAAATGTGCAAGGCCCGATATGATGGCATTTCCTGTATCGGTTGTCGTTTGTGTACACTAAAATTATATAATTCAAGTTATTTTCTCGTTTTTTTTTTATTTTATTTTATTTTTATTTTTTCTTCTTTTTTAATAGACAATAATATAAAAAAGACAATTTATAGATGATTCGAATTGAAAAACGAGAGAAAATAGCAATCATTTGATTGAATTGATTGGCTATGATCGTAGTTTGGTTCATTTATCAATTCTGGATGTTCATTCAAGGTATGTTTAAAAAATTAGTTTTTTGTTTTTTGAAAAAGCCAAATTTTTTTGTTTTCATATTTAGGAACTACATTTGCTTTATCATTTATTCGTGATTTACGTAATTTAACTGTTATTTATAAACCAAATGCATTTATCTATCATATTTGTCAAACATCACATCCTATTAATTTTAAACGTATACGTTGGCATTATGAATCCTTATATGATTCAACAAATGATACCGATATATATTGTAAACGTTTATTTAATAATTCTGATTGTTTTGATTTTTATTATGGTATATCAACAAGTGTACTTGTTATTAAAGAACCTGATATGTATATTGGAAAATATACATGTCATGTTAATATAAATTCAACATATGAAATAACATCATCAGGTTATATTGATGTTAAATTACCATTAAATGATATTAATGATAATGATAATGATGAAACAACCATGGGTATGTATAATGAAAAAGAATTAGGTAAATTAGCTATACAATATAATGTACCATTTATTCTTGATGAAAATGATTTAACATCATTTGGTAAACGTGTACAAATTGGTGGTACATTTTTAACAAAATGTCAATCTGTACAAAGTTCATATCCAATAAAATTTCTATGGATACATTTAAAAAATTCATCAAATATTGAACAATCTGAAAGAATAAAAACAATACGTTTTATTCAACGTGATGATATAAGAATTAAAATACAAGAAAATAAATATTCAAGTATGTAAAAATAATTATTATTATGTGTTTTTTTTTTTTTCTTTTTTGCTAACATATAATGATTATTACACACATGTCTATTCTGATATATGACAGATGATAAATTATGAATTCTTCATTATGCATATATATACATATATAAATGTCTATGAAAAAATTAAGTTTTAAACGTTTTTTTGTTTTGTTTTGTTTTATTTTGCTTGTATTTTAATACAAAAAAAAAATACTAAGTAACTTGAATAGTAATTATTTATGTGTAATCAATAATTATTTATTTATATGGAAATAAAACAGAAACAAAGTTTTTTTTGACTTCATAATTTTGATAAAAACCAGCATTCAATGATGTAGTTTAACTAGAATTTAATTTTTAGTTAATGAAATTAAGTTTAACAAAAAAAAAAAACGGAGACATTAATAAGTAAGATTAATTTACCCACAGGTTAAAATTAATCTCGACTTCAATATTCTTTATATAATCAAACAAGACCTCTTACCTTATAGTGACAGGTGTCTTTTATCGCAAATTAACCATGCACGTTTTCTTTTTTACATCTTAGGTTCTTTATTCATCTATCCTGTTGAACTTGCTGATGATGGTGAATATGTCTGTATAGCTTCAAATGCTTTTGGTCGATCATTTTCTAGTAGACGTTCATTGATTGTTTCAGGTAAGAAATAAATAAAATAAAAATTAAGATACCGCATGATGATGATGATGTTTGTTCTGTTTTTGGTTTCTTTTTTTTTGGCATGTAATTATAATTTTAATAGTATTTAGAACGTATGATATTTCCTCGTATACGAGATAATCTTCTTAATCATAGTCAATTTGACCTTCAAAATGATGGAATAAAAGAACTTGTTTGTATAGCTGATGGTTATCCTGAAGCTAATGTTATTTGGATTCGAGGTTTTTTTTAATTTTTATTTCTCTAATTTAAATATGTATTTAATTATATCTTTCTCTATCTATATATATATATATATATCAGCATCAGATTCGAGTCTTCTTGCACGTAATACTACACGTACTATACTTAAATTTGATAATGAAATGCATGGTATGAATGAATATATTTGTGAAGCTAAAAATAAGCATGGTTTAACTAAAATCATTATAACTGTTATTATACCAGGTGTGTAAAAGAATTTACATATAATTTTATTGGAAATTTTCTTGTCTTTTTGAATTTAAATAGATAACCAAACAAAACCATTATTAAGCTATAGTGATATTCAAAGTCATAGTGTTTTATTACGATGGCGTGTATCAAATGGACATTATGAACGTTTTAATCATTTTATTATTTATTATCGTCGTTTACATAATTTCGATGATAATGATAAAGAACAAAATGATATTATAAATATACAAGATTATAAACAAGTACTTATTGATCCACGTACAACACGTTATAGTTTCACATTTCGAGTAAAAAGAAATAGAAAAAAAAAAAAGATGAATTTTTTAAAGCTTGTAATTTTTCTATTTAGATGATTGATTTAATTCCATATACAAAATATGAATTTCGAATAAAAGGTTTTATTGGTGCTACACCATCAGCTTATTCTGATTCAATTATTATTAAAACACTTGAAACAATACCAGAAAAAATTGATCATCTTCATGGTTATGTTTGGAATGAAACATCTATAGTTGTTCATTGGACACCACCTAATTCTACTAATGGACCTAATTTTGTAAGAAAATAGAAGTTATATTAAAATATTTTACTATATTTAGCTACTTTAATTATAATTCTCTCAATAAATAGAGAAATTATGGTTTTATGATAATTATAAATAGTTGAAATAAGTAGGGATAATTGTTGGATTTATTTTACAATGAAATATTCATATGATTAAAATAAATGAAATCTTAGTTGTTATTAATTATTAAGATTTAGATTATATTTTCTTTTTTTTTTTTATTCAATATTCTAATAGAATTCTATGTTTTTCAGTATAAATAAATTTTGTATAATATAGAAAACATAACCAACAGATTAATACAATAAATTTCTCAAAAATACTATCAACATAATAATATTCAGGTAGTGACCCGAAAAATAAAAAGAACATGTTACTCTTCTAATAAACCAATTTTAATATGTCATTTCTTATTTGAAAAAAAAAATCTATCATTATATCTTATAGATTCATTGAAATTAGAAGTTTATTATAGCATATTGTATGATTATCTTATTCATACACAATAAAATCTTATTATATTTTTCATAAATTCTCTTTTTGAAAGTTCATATCATAATGATTGTTGTATAGTAAATAACAATAAGACAAGTAAATTCAAATAGAAATAGAAATATCTGTGTTGAGTGAAAATCTTTTCAATAGATCGAAAAGTATGCATAAATTTCAGAGAGAGAAATTTTTTATCCTGATAGGTTACTTTAGTTTTTTAATAGACAAGAATAGAAATGTGCGAAACTTAGTGTTTTTAGTCTCGGCTAAGAGAAAACTGTTTTCAGAATTTATTCGTATCATATCTAAAATAATTTTTCGATACTCTGTTTATTTAATCGACGATTAATACTCTTTCGGATCCTCTCACTCTCTTGAATTATGTTCTAATTCAAATGATTTATAAGATAATTTACTTAAAATCAAAGAATATTGTACAATAACCTTGAGTCTCAGTACTAGTAAATTTTTTTTTCTCGTAGTTCCGACCGTAGTTCCAGCAATTTCTCTTTCAAGTGATGCCGATCTCGATCCCGGAATTTTTTTCTCTGTGGTCTCATACATTTCTAAACAAGAGTATTCATGCTTTTATCTTGACAATGCGTTGATTCAAAAGATTAATTGACTCAAAGAATGAAAATGATTGATCAAGAGTGTGTCGAGGTTGTCAAGGTTAGAGGGTGGGTCGATGACACAAGAGGCCAATTGGCAAATTTTCACTAAAGTGTTGACCGGATTTTTAAGGTTAAGCAGAAGAAAAAAAAAACGAAAATTTTTTAAAAACTATTAATATTTTGAATTTGCAAAATATTGATAGATTAACTTATTCATTCCTTTTAAAAGAATTAATTATCATGTTTGATTATTAATATTATGAACTATTTTATAGAGCATATATCTATTTACTATTTTAGCATTACATCCTCTATTATACAACAAATACATCAATACCATTTGATAAATGGTCTCATCAAATTGTTCGAACATATCCATTTTATATATTAAAACTTTCAAAATCAGAAATATCAATTCTTTTTATTCGTATTGCTAGTGTTAATGCTAAAGGTTCAATATTAAGTGATTTTCATATAATTAATCGTAGTTTAACAAATCATAATTTAATATCAACTATAGATAAATTTCAATGTACATCTGATGATATTAATCAATTATTTTCTATTCAATGGACTATTGATTATGAATCACGTTTTTATATAAATAAATATATCTTATATTATCTTGATATAACAGAAAATAATGATGATTTAATACGACAATTAATAATACCAATTAATTTTTTATCAATTAATAAACAACAATCATATGATTTATATAAATATGAATTTAATAGTTCATTATTTAATTTAAATTATAATTTAAATCATATATTAAGATTACATTTAGCTATTATTGATCAAAATCAAAATCATTTACCAATGACACAACCAGCTATTTATTGTACTCTAACAAGAAAATATGGTAGGATAAATTAATTTAGATTTTTTTTTTGTATCGCAAGATCATATTCAAAATCAATTGATTTTATAATGGAAATTATATGTCAAGGCTGATTTTTTTTTCTATTTCCTATCAATTGTTCATAAGAGCGTACTATGATGTGTCTGATCTAGTTTTTCTTAGTTTAATTTCATCATTGTCTAACTATTTATGAAAGGATAGATAATTATTACATTGTATATAAATCTCAATGTTTTTTCAATGAATTGAGAGAATAGTAGAAAAAAAAAGAAAAGAAAACCGTGTGTACGAATAAAGAGAAAACTATTCAAATATTGTTGTTTGAAAATCTGTAATTTTAAAGAAACAAAAAAAAAAAGAAAATTAATGATAATGAATGGAAAAGTAAGAAGAAGAAAATGAAAAAAAAAAAAAGGGGAACAATCGAGTTGATGGAATGTCGATGTTAAGAAAAGATAAATGATGCATAATGTGATTTGATTTTCTTTCTTTCTTTCTTTCTTTTTTTTTTTTGTTTTATTTCTCAGTATGCGTGCTGTACAATTTTATAAAAAGCAGGTGTTTGACAATTAATGAGCACATATGCATACTCAGCATGCAATTATCAAAGAAACACGACATTTTTACATTGCATGATATACATATATGGAATATTAGAATAGATTTATCTAAGAAAAAAAAAATGAAAGACTATTTCATATAATATGTGTCACATGCAAAGTATTTTTTGAAAGAAAAATTTTCTAATTAAAAGACTATCGCATTAAGAAATCATTGGATTAATAGATATGTGTGTGTGATAAGAAATGTTTGTCAGTTGTACTTGTTGAGAGAAATGAATTAAATATTATTTGAATAATTAGACTGACTATGGTTCGATATACTCGTCCTTTTTCTCTTCTTTTTTTTTCTGTCTTTTTTTTCTGTTCTCTCTTCTTTTTTTTTTTCATCGCTCGACACATATAGGATAAACAGTATGTATCGAGGACAATGCAATTAAGTTAAAGCAATATTTCTCTCCCTCGCTCTCTCTCTCTCTCTCTTTCTCTCGGACCGCATCGATGATGATGATCGAGGTCGTGCTTCTTCCATTCTGTTTCCGTTCTTTCTCATGTTTTTATATGCCAGAAAAAAAAAAATTGATTACAAATAATCATGATACATTTTCTCGTTTGATCTTGACACCATTGTCCAGTTTCAACTAAATCTATTTGTACATGTTTGTTTCTAATTTAAATAAATAATTATCTATTTTGTTATTTTTTTTCTTTTCTAATCCATAAATTTTGTCTAGATAAGCTTTTCTATTTTTCTTTTTGCCTTGTTGCTTTTGTCTATCGATAAACAAATGTTTTATTTAATCATTTTTTATACAATATTAATTTTTATAACAAAAAATTTTGCACAAACACCAAATAATATACGTATATTAGCAACTGATAAAGATTTTATACGTTTATCATGGACAAAACCAACACGTTTATCATCATCAATATATGGTTATACAATAAAATATCGTCCTGTTAAATCAAATCAATCATGGATTGTTAAACAAACAAATAAAACAGAAATTTTTTTAAATGAACTTCATCCAATAACAAAATATGAAATTATTTTACAAGCTTATTTAAATTCATCATTTACTGATTCATCTGGACCATCAACACGTATTGAAGTAACAACAGATGAAACAGGTAACTTCCTGTTCAAATAAAATAATGCTTGACTGATTGGTAATGGTAATGTCTAGACAGATATAAGAAAAAAAAAAAAAACAAAAAAAACTTGTTTGTACGTGATAGAATCAAAGAAATCATATATATGTAACTATTGTCTTACGTTTGAGAAATCTTTGATCGATAATGAATTTTCGATTGAACATACTTGAGTATTTTCATTGTTTTTTTTATATTCGAACTTTTGTTTTCTTGAAGATTGATACTTGAGAGGAATGTAATCAATATCATATTCAGATTATATTGATTATTGAATAAGATATAAAAGAAAATTGATTAGAAAAAGAAAAGAATGTCAAGAGATATGGAAATTTTCATATTATTGATTAAATAAATTTCGAGAAGAAAATTTTCGATAGAAATTTTTTGGTTTTTTTTTTTTTGAATTTCATATTTTATTGTAGAGTGTAATTCAAAAAAAGAGTTTATTTTTATAAGTTTCTTAAATTGAGAAGAAAGAAGAGAAACCATTCATCTATATATATGTATAAAATATAGGGAAAAAAAAACATTTTTTTTTTTTGAGTAACTTAATCTTTAGCAATCCAAAAGGCATTTAATCTGATATTACTTTCAAGGGAATACTAATGAGTTAATTCTTATACATAGTTTTACAAAAAACAAAATTTGTTTTATCAGGATTAGAATAATAGATCGAATAGAAATAACAATTTCTTTTTTTTTTTTTTTAAGACTGAATATTCTATTTGAACTTAATTTAAATTAAAAGGTTTCTTGATCAACAATCATGTTAGTATGAATAATATGCAGAATCAATAGAATAAATAAGAACTACTTTTAGTTCACTTATGATATCGAAGCCTAAAATAAGATTAAGATTGTTAAAAAAGTGCTTCATCATCGAATGAAAACTTAAATCTATTTTTAAAACTTTAAGTGACATCTAATCATGAAAGAATAGATGAAAATTATCAACTAAATAATACATTTTATCTTCAAATAGATAGATAATCCATTTTTAGAAATTAAAAAAAAGGAAATCTATAGATATTATTTCTTATTATAAGTTTCAATTTTCATTTAAAAATCTTAATTGGATATGTTACTCCTTTTTGTTTTTGTGCTCTCCTACGAGGTTTACTATTACATAGTTAAGATATAATATACAATGAAAAATGAGATTAATATGAAATCTTTTGTTTGAAATAACAAAATTTTTATATGATGATAATTATTTATATTTTTATCGATCTTTTTTATTTATAATGTAAATGATTTTATATTCACATGGGAGTTTTTGTATACAAATTTTATCAGATTATTAAATTAAATCTATTTGTTTTTTTATTAGATCAATATAGAATGTCAACTAAAATTTTTATTTTGATTATTTCTAATATTCTAAAATAAATGTTTGACAAGAAAAATCTTCCAAACTAATAAATCACTTTTTTTTTAGTCGAGATAATGTGAATTCTATATAATTAAATGAGCTATAAATATCTTGAAAATAATTCAAGTTCTTAGCTTCTGACTATCGAAATATTACATACATTTTTTACAGGAGATTATGAACAAAATGCTCTGATAACAGAAAAACTAATTTTCAAATTTCAACTTGAAACTTTCTATAGAAATAAATCTTAATAACAATCATTTCACATCGTTTAATTTGCTTCTATCTTGAAATAAGAACATCTAATCGATCGTTAATCGAAAATGCACGTTTTTATCATAGTATAGAAGTAACAAAGAGATCTGAAATTTTCACAATAAATTATTCTCATTATTCTTAAAAGTCTAATATTTCTCTCATGGGATATTATGATGGTTTATTTGAAACATGTAACAAAATCCTACATTTAAAAAACGAATAGCGATAATCTAATGAACTTTTTAACCGAAAAAAAAAAGAAATGCATGTAAACTGACTTCTAAATGAGACAAGTTATTAAATCAACTATCATAATGTTCTTTGGAAAATACATTCGGCTTTTAAGGATTAAGGTCTACGTCTCTACAAAGTTTCAAGTCGAAATTCGAAAATCAATGTTTTTTGTTACCACGACATTCTCCATAGCAATAAGCTAAGGGTCTTAACTCTTTTGAGAATATTCATAGTTCATTTGTCTATTATAGGTTAAAAATAAGCAGTCAATGTTGTTGCGAGGTGAATAGGATTAGAGAGGTCTAATCTAATGGCAGGTCGTCTATTATAGGAGGGACCGAGTCACGATAAGTTTCATTCTTTCTCCCTCCAAGGACATCGACAACCTTGATATCGACTCAAAACGTAATTTATCAATTGGAAAACGTTTTTTCATAAGATCAACATTATTTGAACTCGAAAATAGAATAATTTTAAATTAAGATTTAATTTTAAAGAATTAAGACGATGTATAAATTCTATACATAATTATTAAAAGATTTGAATTGCAAGTTTCATTAGAAAAAAACAAAAAAATTTTTGAACGAAATATGATAATTTAAATTATCAATTATTCGAATTTATCATTGAGTGTTTATGTCGTTATAATTGCAATCATTTATTTTAAATTATCAAATATCAATATGAAGAATATTCATTTTAAGTATATTTTGAAGTGTTAAAATTTAATGCAAATAACAAAACATTAATGGTTATTTATTGATTGCTATTACGCACCTTCGAGCAGTATCCATATAACATGTTCTTTTGTTCTATTAAGAAGATAGCTTTTTATGAGTAAAATATAAATAGTACTTAGTTCTCGTTCTCTTATACTTGATCGAATAGAACATATAGATATTATTCATATTTTATTTTATTTTTTTTGTTCGATTAAAATGAATAAAAAAAAAATCGGTTCTATATATATATATATATTTATTTTGACAATCATATCGATTGCTACAACAGTTAAAATATAGTATTTTTTTTTTTCGATGATCGTCAATCATTTGACATACGTTCATATGTTGAAATCGTTTTTTGATTGATTCATGTTGATTTAGCTGTTTTTTTTTATTTAATTAATACAAAAACGACAATTTGTTTAAAAATAAATATTCTATCAAAAAAGAAAAAGAAAGCAAATCAAACTCTTTTCTTGTTCCCCTATAGAATTAGAGTTCGTTTAGAATAACCTTGTAGAAAGGAGAAAAATATTCTTTGATATAATCGTCTTTTTTAGCTTTGATTAAGTCTTATATTAGAAATGACGAGATTCATCTTGATTACTTTTTTCTAAATTCTTTTTAAACGACCAAAAGATATTTATATAATATCATATAACATTCTATAAAAAAAATTCTTTCCGGTGGAAAACTTGTAAATTAATTAATTAGAGAATAGTAAGCATATCTTTTTTTTTTCTTCTTTTTTTTTGCTTATAATAAAATGACGCAAGATGAGAAAAGTACAAGTTTGCCTACTAATAATCGTCAAATCGAACCTACTCTTTTCTCACTATATAAATTGACCTTTATATCAAATAAAGTATATAGTTACCAAAGCAATAAACAATTAAAGCATATAAAACTTCCTTTCATCATTATTCCAAAAAAAAAAAAAAAAAAGAAGAAATTAAATTTTGGATATATTATCGGATAGCAAGTATAATCTATATGGAATTACTAATAAGATTTCTTTATTGCTTATATATACCGAATCCTATTAAATAGTAATATACCTGCTTCGTTGAATCATTAGCACATAGATTCTTTTATGTATATAACATATATGTGAAACTATTCATGCAGGAAAAATAGTAACGAAATCGAATACTAAGAAATCTATTAGAAATATACAAAGATCTATTTTTTTCAATGATAGATATCATGAATATGATGAAGTAAAAAAAGAAATTCCCAATAGAGTACACATATATTTGTTGTCATCATCAACATCATCCTTGTTTCTTCAACATTATAGTGATAATTTAACCTTTTTTTCCAATTATAGTGAATCGATTCATGCAAAGCTATGGCTTTGTTTTTTTTTATTTGAAACAAAAAAGAACAGAATAAATATAGATGTTACTAGTTGGTTTTATTACTGACGACAAATGAGTTTAGTGGTAGCAATAACAGTAACAAGTCTTGAAAAACTCTTAATAAAAAAGAAAAATGCGAGAGAAGCACAACAAGAAGAAAAAAGAAAAAGATGTGTCAACTATGCCTGGTTGCATTGTATACAAGAAGACAACTGCATTTTGTTAGCGGAAGATGACACATTCAAGGTTCATTTCCTTCTACATTTCACTTGTTCACTCGTTCATAAAATAAGTATGAAAAATGATAAAAGAGCAACTAACTGCCTATTACTTAAAACTAACATATTACTTTTGTATGAATTACAAACAACTGACAACCATGTAAAGAAAAAAAAAAGAAAGAAAGAACAATGATGAGTTATTCGTAACAAAAGAAACGGATAAGATGAGCTAATTATTTGTCTTATAGTTTAACGGAGAAGAATTAATCAACTAATTTAGAATGACAGTGGCAATTGATCTTCTCATTTTCTTACTATTCATTTCATTAGTAAACATAATGGTCAGACAGACGGACAACTGTCCATTTTATCTGTCCCATTGGAGGATGATTATATCCTATATTATTTGAAATGCCACAATTAATAAATATATCATCAATGTTCTTGTCGTCTATTTATGTACATATATATATATATATATATAAGAATGTGTTGTTCTTTCATTCATTTAAGTGACAATCTAACGCTTGAACATCTCATATTATAGATCATCATTAGACCATAAAATATGTGAAACAAAAAGAAAAAAACGGAATAGAAAAAAGAAATGAGCAACCGATGCTTAATAAATATTACTCGATTTTTTCGTTAGCGTGCTTTTAAAGCTTGAGCTCGGTATCGGATGATCGGCGGAAATGATAATTTCTCAAATAACATAGCAATAAGAATGTGTTCCCTTTCGTTCTCATTTTGTAATATAGAAGGGGGTGGAGATCTTCTAATGAAGAAGTCGTCGTCGAAGAAAAGATGATGAAATAAATAGAATAAACTGTTCTTCTTTCCTATCATGGTTATTTCAGAGTATGAGAAGAGACGAGGGGGGAGAGAGAGAACTAGCGAGAGACAATGAAGGAGAACAAGGAAAAAAGAGTGAGAGAGCAAAAAAGAAGGGAAAATAATTTCGGATAGATGATGGTGAATGTTAAGGAAAGAACAAGAAAAAAGGGAGAAAAGAAACAGTCGGTTGTCGTAGATCTGCTCGATCTGTTTTGAACAACGCCAACATCAGTCAGTCAAGCAATTCGTATGTGGTCAATATTCGTCTTATTATTAATTCTAGTTCCACTTGTTGCACCAATTAATGTAAGCGCTTATGTGATTAATCAAACATCAGCAAATATATCATGGATATATCCACTCGACAAAAATAATCCCGATGATATCTCATTACTTGGTGGAATGATAAAAGGTTTTTATGTTATTGTATTTGCGCCATTATCATTACAACCGCCTATTGTACATCGTAATTATGAAGGTACAATTGGTAAAGAATATTGGGATATTATTGGTAATTTAACACCTGGTACAACATATCATGCACAAGTAAAAGCTTTTACAAAAAAAGGCGATGGAAAACCAAGTGTACCATATATATTTACAGTACCAAAAGAAGATTTTCGTGAGTGAAACGAAAAGAAAATCCTAATCATTCTTCTTAGCATTATATTATTTATAATTTGTGTAGAGATATTCTAATACGAGAGATAGAAAGAGAGAGAGAGAGAGAGATTACTTAGCGTGTATATGAATGAAAAGTAATTGATCATCATGATGATGATCACTGGACACGCCCTTAATGCTCGAAAAAAAAAAAAGAAAAGAAAATGTGAAGAAACATTACTTTTCTTTATTCATTGCGTTTTTTTTTTATATTTTATCTCTTTCTTATATAGTCAAGAGCAATAATTGTGATGAAGGGAAAAAGATGATGGAAAAAAATATTCCGTTATCTTGCCGATGTACGCTCATCACCATCAGTAACACAGTAGTAGCACAACTACTCTAGCAAACACACAGAAATCAATAATGAAAGTTCTTATGCAATTCTCGACTTTTTTTTTCTTCTCTTCGCTTTTACTTACACAGAAGAAGTAATAGTAATCATAGTCAGTCGTACTCTACTGTATTGCCTCCTGGTTGGGGGTAGTGATGTGTCTATCAATAATTGTCTACTTTTATATAGACTTCCACAGTGAAAATATACATCCTGTATGAAGATAAATGAGTTTATAGGACAATTCAGGTGGATACATTTTTTCTTTTTGTTTTATTCGCTAGTAAGAAGATCTTATTAAATAAAAAGAATGTATGTAAGTTGTGCAATGCGTTAAAGCGTATAATAAGGTTAGCTCAATTGATTGTTGTCCGGCTGGTGATGTTTTCAAACAAGATGTTGTATCTAATTTACTCTTAGTAGCTGCTGGGAAAACTTGTTTTTTTTTGCTTCTTGCATCATCCATATATGTCATAGGTCACGATCGTCCATATAAAAGAACTAGTAAAAAGTAATGCCCAATTTACTATGTATGCTTGTCGGAAGTTGCCGTTCTTCTATTTTAGTGCGTGACAGACATCTAACTAATTCTTATTTTACAACATAAGAAAAAACTTGACCGACAAAATGAAGTGAAAGAGAATACACCAAAAAAAAAAAAATAAAAAAAGTCTATATTAATCAAAAAGAAAATTTTTTTTTTTTTTTCAAACAAATCTTATCAATATTGATGAGTACGAACAAGGTTTTTTCTATTTATTATTGATTATTGTACTATATTCAATAAGCGAGATAAAATGTAAGTTTATATTTCTAGTCCTAGTTAAATCATGTGTGAATGTCATTGAAAGTCTAATGCATTCGATAAGTGAATATGCGAGGAAAAAAAAATTTGATCTTTGAATACAAAAAAAAGAAAAACTGAATGGATAAATTTGCCTAAGGCATATTATTATCCGAATATAATGGACACAATGATTGAATATATTGTGTGTAATTAGTCTATATATAAAATTGAATTAAATTAAAATCAAAATGTTCAATATTATTTAATTTATGTAAATAATTGATTAAAAACCAAGTTTTTTTATGAAAATATTTATAAGAATTTTTAATAAGAATTATTTGAATTTCAATCCATGTATTATCTGTATTTAATGGATGATCTAAATAAACTATATCAAGTGTATGATAATGAAGATTTTTTTTAAGATTTTTAGTTTTAGGTAATTCCCATTTTTCATATTGATTTTTTATTAATAAAATATATTTTTTATTATTTTCTTCTATAATTATTAATGATATTATATAACGATTAGGACCAAAATTTTCTAATAAACTTTGACCAATTAAACCTGTACGTCCATAAGGATTTTTAATATTAAAATTTAAATTTGATTTTAAATTTTTTAATGAAAATTTTAATGGATTATAATTAGGAAAGAAAATATTCCATGATGAATATTTTGATGGTACATATTGACGTTGAGATTGAATATAATATATAAATGTTTGTATAGGAGATTTATTATTATTATTATTAAATAATAATAAAGAATTTTTTCGACAAAAAAAATTTTCATATTGATTTAAATTAAATATTTCCCATTGAAATAAATTTGAATCAAATATATTTAATTGAAAATATTTATTAGATATTTTTTTATCTAATAATGAATTAAAATTTATTTGAAAATATTCATTAAAACATTTTGGTACTGTTGGAAATAAAGAATATTTTAAATGATTTTTATTATGTAATATTATTGAATGAGATGTTTTTAATTTATATTTATTATAAGAATATTTTCTTTGAGATTTATAATTAATTTTTTTTTTTATCAATGATTTAGATATTGAATTAATACTTGTTTCAATATTTGTATTAATATCTTTAATAAATTGATTAATTATTATTTGAGATGATAAATCATATTTAGATTTCGATTTTATTACTAGAAGAAAGAAAATTTTAATAGAAAAAAAAAAAAAATTTGTTTTGTTCATTCTATATGATTACATTTATTGTCAATTAATACTGATTTTTCATTTGATTGATGATGTGATGAAGAAAGTTTTTCGATTAACATTTCTTTATTCATTAATTTCTATTATAGAAAATAATTATTATGTTATATAAGATAAGATAAGTATTGTTATTTACAAATTTTTTTGTTGGAGAATAATTTAAATCGATAGATGATGAGAAAGATGTCATCGAATCATTAGTCTGTTATTTAGAAAAGAGATATATGTGACTAAATAGTAAAATTTGATTTATGATATTAAAATAAATATGAATATGCCTGATGAATAAGAGATTTTTTAATTGAATTTGATATCATATGATTTGAATATGATGAAGTTTTATTCATTAATTGATCTTCGTTGTACATTATCTATGGAATTAGATTTATTCTAAATCTTTTTTTTGTTTTAAGATATAAATTTAATTGTCTTTCTATAGAAAAATGATAAAACATCAGAGTTAGAGACGTGCAGAAGCAAGGTTTTTTTTGTCTCGATTCCGATGATTTTAGTTTTTTAGATGTCAATCTCGAGAAAACTATTCTAGAATTTATTTGTATCATATCTAAAATAATTCTTCAATATTCGGCTTTTTTATTTATTTATTTAGTTGGTGACTAGCACTTTTATTTTTTGGTCATCTCTCTTGAATCATGTTCTGATTCATTTGATGATTTACTTAAAACTATAGAATACTTTTACGATAAGCTTGAGTTCTAGTTTTCGGTAAAGTTTGTTTTTTTTTTTGGTTCCGCACATCTCTAGTTCGAGTAAATAGTGTGAATAATTGTATGTGTTTGTAGAGATATATTTTGATCGTTTATATAAAGAAATCTATTTGTAATTGAAGATAATATTATGTAGATATTTTGAATTCAAATATATGAAGAAAATATTTAAGAATTTTTCTGTATATTTCTTTGAAAATCTATAAATAATTAATATAGTTATTTTTCTTTAGTTAAAAATTGATTTTGAATTAATTACACTAATGGATAAAAGTCTTTCTCATCTCATCCGGATTTCAGTCATTATAAAGGATAGAGCTCTGAAAATTTGTTTGCTCATACTTCACTATGAATATATAGCAATAGAACTATCTACATTCTCTGGCTTGCTTGAACAGATATTGAGTTATGATGAATGGTGTGTCTATGTTTGCTTTGAGCTTCATAACTCTTAAGAGGGAGTACGTTGTGAATTGACGGACCTTTTATTATGTAGCATTATATTTCAGCTATCTATCGTAAACATTTCTTGAAGGTTCCGTCAATGTCTGCAAGAATTTTAGTCATTTTACTCTAAACATCTGTATACACAAAATTATCTATTGTCCTTTCAAAGTTCATAACTCACGAGAGAACGTTGCCGACTGTTCAATCGCTTTTCGCTTGAGACTATTATCATTCAATCGGTTATGATGAATAGTGAAAAAGTCTGTTTTGACTTGCCAATCGTCATTTGTTAAGTTAGAGTCGTTTTACTTCCTTTTTAGTCTATGACCATCAGATCGCTTGGTATTTGAATGAACAAAATTCGAGCTAAAATTTCCTCCATAGAGAGATCTTATAGTAATTAGAAATTGCTCAAAGTTTGACTAACAAGGGAACCTCTCGAGATGATAAAAAGCTTTTCGATTCAGACTACTTTTATCTTGTAGGCCCTAGTGAGTAGTGAAATACCCTGACTTGGTTCATCCCCTTATTGCTTTGTAATGGAGTTATGACCATTTTACTGGTTTTTCGACCTATAGCACTATGTAAGCAGCCACAGTAAATAAGTGTGTTTCGATCTGAAATTTTGTCCATAAAGAGGTCTTATGAATACTAGAATATTGTGAAAGTTTCAGACAAAACGAATGCGTCCTTGTTGAAATAATGAATTTCAAAAAAAAACAACTGTTTTCCGAGGTAAATTTTAATTTCGTGTCAGAGATAGTCACTTTTTTAAAATTCATTATTTCAACAAGGACACATTCGTTTTGTCTGAAACTTTCACAATATTCTAGTATTCATAAGACCTCTTTATGGACAAGATTTCAGATCGAAACACACTTATTTACTGTGGCTGCTCACATAGTGCTATAGGTCGAAAAACCAGTAAAATGTTCATAACTCCATTACAAAGCAATAAGGGGATGAACCAAGTCAGGGTATTTCACTACTCACTAGGGTCTACAAGATAAAAGTAGTCTGAATCGAAAAGCTTTTTATCACCTCGAGAGGTTCCCTGGTAAGAATGAACCTATCCTTATCGAGATATCTGTTTGTAATGAAAATTATCTTGTTTTGAAATATAGCTCAAAAAAATGTGTTGAATATTTCATTTAAGATGCGTTCATTTTGACTTCAACTTTGAAAAATTTCTAATAACTATAAGACTCTTCTATGAACAAAATTTCAGCTCGAAAGTCATTCATTTAGATCCTCCAATGATCCGATGCTCAAAGACCAAAAAACGAGTAAAATGTCTCTAACTTAACAAGTGAAGATTGAAAAGCTAAAACAGATTTTTTTTTTACTAATCATCATGATAGATTAGATGGAAATAGCTTTAAGCGAAAAGTGATTGACCAATTATGAATATTCTCTCTCGTTAGTAATAGTTCAATAAATTGATCTGAAATTTTTATAGAAACGTCTTTCATATGTTGATATTGTTTTTCACAGGTCTTAGAATCGGATGTTATACTAGAGCGAAATGACATACAAATAATCATCTTATAAGTGTCAAGGATCCGGAGACACTAATATTCGAGCAAATCAATTTATCTCTTGAATGAAGAAAGATTATAGACTATACTTACATTTTATATGAAAATATTCAGTATTATTAATCATGTATTTGATAAGCAACAAGACAATCTTTTAAAGTTATGAATTTCATAGTTAAAAAAAAAAGATTCCATTCATTAGAATTCGATTTTCACTCAAATAAACAAGATATTCTTGAAAAGATTTTTGTTCAGAATTGTAAATAGGATAATAGACTTTATAATTCTCAAAAAAATTCGATTTTAGTATAAATCTTTCTTTGAAAATCAAGATATCATACAGTGTTAATTCTTTTTAAACTTAGATTTATTTTTGCTTTTTTACTGAGAAGATTGAAGAATTTTTTTGTAACTTAAAAAAATAATATCCATGAAATTTTACCATATCTATACTTTCAAAAACTTTTTCCGTTTTATCTTATCAACATTGATGAACATCATAATATAACACGATGTTGGCAACACTTTCTCAAAAATTATTTCCGCAAATACAAGCCCTATAATTTCCGATGTACTTAATGCTATAAAACATTTAACTGAGTTGTAGTTATTCTATCAAGAAACTATATATAGTTCAAAAACAAAAAAAAAAAGAAAAAGAAAAAAGACGTCTAACATTAAACATAATTACTTTCATCTTACAAAATTCTATTTCTTTTCCTAATAGGAAAATAAACAAATTATCAATATCTTTTTATTTTCATTTCAAACAGTATCTTGCTCATAATCCATCATAATTAGACAACTGGTGATAGGAGAGAGTTTGTCTAGTACAAAAATTTTTGGATCGGAACCCGATCCGATGATGGGCTCTAGTCGATAGTTCAATAGAATAGAATTTCTCATTTAACTCACATCATCAATTAATGTAATTGGTTCGATAATATTACTATCAGTTAATGATGTTTGACTAAGTCTAGGTTTTGGTGGACTTGGTAAACGATGAAGAAGACTTTCATATGATCGATGTGATAATAAAATTTTCTAATTAAATTCAAAAATATTTATTAAATAATAATTTTATTAAAAAAAAAAAAAAAACCTTAATAGTTTCTAATGATTTTTCATTATTAAAATTTTGTTTATTATTTAATAAAAAATTATTATGAAAACATAATGGAATATTATATAGAGGAGAATAATTTTGTTTAAGATAATTATTTTTCTTTATATCATCTTTCCAAATATCTATTGATGATAAAATAGCATTAGAATTTTTTTCATTTCTATATTGTATATTTAAATAATTTAATGTTTGATATTGATGATAACATTTCATTGTAAATAAACAACATAAATGACAAATTTTAGTTTGTTTATTTATTTTATATTGTTCAATAAATGAAGATAAATCGATACCATATGTATGATTATATTGATGTTTATTTTCGGACATAAGTATTTCATTATTAAGATTAGATATATTCATTATAGTCAAAAAAACGACAGAAAACAAAAAGAAAAAATTCAATCGAAATTCAAAAAAAATATTTTCCCGCTTTATTTTGTTTTAGGACAATTAACTCCAAGTAATTTAACAGCATATGTTGTTAATGCTCATACATTAAGTGTTACATGGGATTTACCATCAAATATAAATGCTATAGATAAAATTTATATAACTGTAATTGAACTTGGTCAAACAAATCGAACTATACAATCACAATCATTTGATAATACAATTAAAAAATTTGATATTCAAATTGATGCTAATGATCCATTTGGTATATGAATTCATCTTTTTTTTCATTTTTTTGGTTTTATTTAAATAAATATTTTTTTATTTTTTAAGGTATTCATCCAAATCGAACTGTTTATTTTGCTGCTCGATGTTCTGATCGTAATGGACAAAATTCATCTATAATTGATTATCAACTTTATGTCAATATACTCAGTAAGTTTAAATGCATAATATTTTACTTCTTTTTCTTTTTCTTTATTCACTATTTTAAACATTTTAAAATATGCAAAAAAAATTCAATGAGAAAGAACAAAGACAATTTTTCTTCTTTGCTATTCTTGCTGTATGATGTTGACAGAACGACATCCTATTGTAAAAGCATGTGCATTCGCACACACACACACACACACACATAAATACGCTCTCGAATGAGTGGCAGCCATTATTATATTTGATTTATGTCACACGGAAAAGAAGGATGATCGATTGACATATAAGAGAGAAAGAACAAGAAAAAAAAGAAACTCGAAGGTCTTTCAATAGAATAAGAGAATTTTTCTGTATGCGTATGTGTGCGTGTGTGTGTGTGTGTTTTTTTTTGTATCTGAATGTGTTCAATTAAATGTTGAATTTGATAAACCAAATAGGCTAACATCTATTTTGTCATAAATCAGATCATGCGCATGACTAAGGCTTCATATTACATGTATGCACATACATAAACATGCATGCGACTCAATTCGACTTCATCAACCTCTTGTATTCGAGATTTCTCTTTTGATGCTGTTCCCATTCTTTGCCGTTCTTTTCTTTCTCCTATGAGGCGAACACACACACACACACACACACACACACATCTATACACACATACATTTCTTTTTTGTTTGCATCTTCTAAGTAGACAAAAAAAGGCAAGAGAAGTAGTAGCATTAGATATCTCTCTTTTTTTTTTCTCTTCACGTCCTATCCTTTTTTCTCTTTGTGGCATTAACTGCCTCGAAGAGAAGAAAGAATCAACTTAGTAGAGAAGTACAGAACGAGCGAGAACGTTCAACCAAAGAAAGTTTCTTTTCTTGACATTACACAGATGTAAAATTTGATCGTTTTTTCTTCCTAACTTCCCTATCTTAATGTGGTTATTATTAAAACAAGAAAAAGAAACGTAAAAAAAAACCGAAGAAGAAGAAAGAACTTACCAATGAGCCTTTCATCATAGATTATTGTATTAAAACTAAAGAATAGAAACAACTAACATCTATTATATAATGATACAGACAACAATACTAATACAAAACCAATCATTATTTTAACACCTTACTTCATGTTTCATCATCATATTCTTATACTTTTACTTCTTTTCCTAAATTATCATCCAATATTCAATATTACTGCACCACCAAATATATATTATGCTCAAGTACCTCGTGCATCAACTTGTAAGATAAAATAAAACTTTCATATTTTCTTCTTCTTCTTTTTTTATTACATAGCAATATTTTTACATAATTTATTTTCACTTATAAATAAATAAATAAATATGAATTTAGATCCATCACCACGTGATATTCGTGTTGTTCGTATAAATGCTACAACAATTCAAGTTTTTTGGTCACAAGTATATCATCCATTAGTTGAACGATATATTGTTCATTATAATGATAAAGCTGAAAATAAACCTGAAAATAAATGGTCATTATTTTCACCAATAAAGTCAGGTGCAACATCGGCAATTATAAGTGGTTTAAAACCTGATGCTATGTATAATGTTCGTGTTAGTGCAGAATTTTCTTCTGCTAATCATTATGATCCATCACATACATCAGGAACAACACGACGTGAAGGAGATTTATCTGAAATTCATGTTGCTGATATATATCATCGTAAGATTTTTTTATTCTCTTTTGTCTTTATCAAAAAATAACAAAAAAAAGAAATTTTCTTTTTTTATTGCGTGACAAGAAAAAAAGAAAATTTCTTTTTTTTTTTTTTACTTTATGTCATTTCATTTTTGCCATCTCAATTAAATCTGAACGTAGAAACCTTTGACAATCAATATTAGTTGAATGATTTTTTAAAAAGAGTATGTCGTAGAAGAAGAAGAATAAAAGAAAAACATAAGAAATTATTCATCATGCCTTTAAGAAAAAAGGTTCATTGACTTAAGACTTTTCTTTTTTTCTGTTATATCAAGGCCAACAAAAAAAAAAGAAACAAAATAAGTTGTTCGTCTTTTGTTTTTTTTTTTTCTTTCCTGGATCTGATCTTAATTGATGTTATATGCATTCCGAACAGCAAGAGATAAGTATAAGCACATGTCTTGCGTGATAAATTCTTCATGCACAAATTCTTTTTAATGATCTCCGTCTGGTGTTCGACGTGATGATGCGCCTATCATGTAATCATTGGTCTGTAAAATGATCTTTTTTTTTTTTTTCGACTGACCATTATCATATAATAATGACAAAAATGAACTTAAAAAAAAAAAAAAAAAGAATCGATTAAGTGAATGAGCAATCTTATGAAAAAATATTCGCGTTTAATCATCAATTCGATTAGTTTGTCCATAGAGATCAATAATCAACTGTGTAGATATGTCTCTTGAGAATGAGACAACAAAAAATTTTCTTATATATTTAATTAGAACAAAAAAAAAAAATTAGTATTTTGTGTTTCGATAATTTGGAATATTGTACAATAATTATCGTCATGCAATAGATAGATCTATTTAAGATTAGGTTTTTTTTTTTGTTTTATATAGGAAAAATCCTCCTAATAATTGTATGGTTATTGATGTATGCATTAGGGAATTTTAAATTATTAAATAACAATTAATTGTGATGATATGTAATTTTCAATTCAAGTTTTATGGCAAATTCTAATTGAGATTATATTCAAAATTTTGAATATTGAAGTGTAATCGATATCTTTACTTCTCTCATTTGAAATTTTTCAATTCTAATTTAATTCTTATATAACATAGAATGTTTCGTATTGGAAGTGATTTCTTTGATTCAAAATGTGAATGAGATGAATTTTTTTTTTGTTTTGTAGGCACAAAAGAAATCATTCAATATGATGATCAATTAAGTCGACCATATAATTTAACTTATGTTGATCTTACATCTAATAGTGTTAAATTATTATTTTTATTTAATGAAACTAATCTTGATTCACGTCGACAAATACAAAAACTTGAAGTTTGTTAATCAAAAAAAAGAGTTAAACATTTTTGTATAACTTCTTTTTTTGGTTTTTATCTAATAGGTACATTATGAAGGTATACAAAATTATGTTGATGGTTTAGGTACACTACGTTCTACATCACATCATAATTTAGCTGGTCTTATATCAATTCCACCAACACAAGGTGCACGTGAATGGCTTGTTACTGGTTTAGTTCCAAATACTGAATATACATTTAATTTAACTGGAACAATAACATCATCTGAACAATCATCAATTAAAATTTATAGTCGTCCAGCAACAATACGTTTTTCAACTGATTATGATGCACCACCATATGTTGATCGACCTGAACAAGATCGACGAATTTCAACTCGAACAAATAGTTTATCACAAATTCCACAAGTTTATTTACGTCTTCATCGTGCATCAACAAAAAATGGACCTATTGATCGATATTATATTGTTGTTCATCTTATTGAACATCTTTCATTTCGAGCATATGTACCACAAGAAGTATGAAAAAAAAAAGAAAAAGAAAAGATTTCTTTTATCTTTGTAAAACATAATCTAAAAGGAGTGTTGAAGTAAAAGATTTGGACTCTCCAACAGATGATAATCAGTGGAGCTCATCGGATCTAAAATTTGCAATCCCGGACTCTACTAGCTAGAAGCCATCATAGATTGTATATCAATAATGTCCCATTTTAACATACGAACTACTTTCCTATTGCATTTCTAAAGGATTAAATGATAAAGATATATGTCACAAAATAGATAGAATAAAATAATCTCTCTGTTATTATGAATAGCAGTTATATTGCGTTTTATATTTTAATTCTACTAACAGTTTTTTTCTATAAAAAAAAAAAGATGTTTTTCTTCTTTTTAAAAATAGGGTCGTCGTGAATGTTGTTATACAGCAGCAGTATTTAATGAATCTCAATTACCGGAAATATTTATGTTAGGTGATGGTAAAGAAACACGTGATTGGGAACCATTTCATGGTCGTGTTTATAATAATTCACCAGTAATGCATCCATGTAAAGTTAAATTAGTATCATGGGGTTTTAATCGTAAAAAAGAAAATTTAACAACATCAAGTTCAACAATACAAATAAATTTATTACCTAAATTAGTTCAAACACAAAATCAAGATACATTATATAATTTATTATGGATATTTGGTATAATTGTATTAATATTTTTAATTGTTCTTATTATAATTATATTTATATTAAAATATAATCGAACAAAAAAAAAATCTTTAACACCACCACCTGAATGTGTACCATTTGATTTAACACCAAAAGTTTTAACAATGGAAATGCAAATGCCAACATTACCATCAACAATATCACCAACATCATCAAATGAACATGTTGAATTACGACGAAATCAAATTATAAATACATATAATAATAATAATAATAATACAAATAATAATAATAAAGAAATAATTTTAACAAATTATCCTCCTATACATATTGATGAATTTTCTGAACATCTTGAACGTTTAAAAGCAGCTGATAATTATAAATTTTCACAAGAATATGAAGTAAAAATAAATAAATAATTTTATAATTAATTCATTTTTTTTTTAAATATTTTTTAGTCTATTGATCCTGGTCAACAATTTTCATGGGAAAATTCTAAATTAGAATATAATAAAGCAAAAAATCGTTATGCTAATGTTATTGCATATGATCATTCACGTGTTATTTTACATACAATTGATGGATTATCAGGAAGTGATTATATAAATGCAAATTATTTAGATGGATATAGAAAACAAAATGCTTATATAGCAACACAAGGACCATTACCAAATACATTTGCTGATTTTTGGAGAATGATATGGGAAACAAATTCAGCTTGTATTGTTATGATGACAAAATTAGAAGAAAGAAATCGTCTTAAATGTGATCAATATTGGCCAACAAGAGGAACAGAAATTTATGGTTCAATACATGTTACTTTAACGGATTTTATTGAACTTGCATCTTATAGTATACGTACATTTACTATAGCATGGGTATGATTTTTTGTTTTTTTTTTATTATTATTATTTAAATATAAAGAATATGTTAATAAATAATTTTAGACTGGTCATCCAGAAAAACGAGAAATTCGACATTGTCAATTTACAGCATGGCCAGGTTAGAATACAAATAAAGAAAATCCTTTTTTTTGTTTTTTGATTATTAATTTTAATTGATATATTATAGATCATGGAATATTAGAACATGCAACATCATTTTTAATGTTTGTTCGAAGAGTTAAAGTTCTTAATCCACCTGATGCTGGTCCAATTGTTGTACATTGTTCAGCTGGTGTTGGTCGTACGGGTTGTTTTGTTGTTATTGATGCTTTATTAGAAAGATTAAAACATGAAAAAACAATTGATATTTATGGACATGTTACTTTATTAAGAGCCCAACGGTAATTAAAAATAAAAAATTTTGTTTATCTTACACTGAGATAATCATTAATTGTAGAATTTATGAAAACAAAAAAAATTTCTATGTAAATTCAGAATTGGCTTTTTTTTCTAATATTTCGATCGAATGAAGTCATATGAATAGAAATTTCTATGAAAGATGTAATAAATAGCATAGAGATGGACAAGATAGTTCTGGTCCTAGCAGAACCACAACACCAAAAAATATTTTTCTAACCGGATATTAAAATGACTGATGTTATTCATCTGTAAATTAGCATGGTTATGTTTGCTCGTTCTCTTACTTCATATCTATATTCATGAATATTGAACGAAGCGAATAATTAAAGAAGAACTATTTTTTTTTCACTTCGAGCTATTTTTCCTCAAGGTAAAATAAGATAAGATGGGAAGTTAAGAAAATTCTTCGCATATTTGACTTTAGATAAGATAATAAAAAAGAAAAAGAAAATATTATTGTTTATTTTTAATAGAAATTATATTGTTCAAACTGAAGAACAATATATATTTATTTATGAAGCAATAAATGAAGCTATTCAATCAGGTCAAACTGAAGTTTTAGCAAGAAATTTATTAACACATTTACAACGATTATTACAACCAATAAATGATACTTCATTAACAGAAATGGAACTTGAATTTAAAGTAAACAAAAGAATATATTTTTTTTTTATAAACATTAAATAAATTTCTTCTGTTTTTTTTTCTAAAATGTTAAGCGTTTGGCAAATGTCAAAGCACTACCATCGAAATTTTTAAGTGCAAATAATCCAGCTAATAAATTTAAAAATCGTCTTGTGAATATTTTACCTTGTAAGTTAATTTTATTTTTCAAAAAAAAAAAAAAATATTATTTTTAATTTTTAGATGAAAATACTCGTGTATGTTTATCTCCTATTCGTGGTGTTGAAGGATCCGATTATATTAATGCATCTTATATTGATGTAAGTTTTATAAAACAAAATTGTTTTTTTTTTTTTTCTTCATATTTATTAATATAAATTAAATAGGGTTATCGATTTAAAAATGGTTATATTGCAACTCAAGGACCATTAAATGAAACAATAGATGATTTTTGGCGAATGATATGGGAACATAATGTAACAATAATTGTTATGTTAACAAAATTAAAAGAAATGGGTAGAGAAAAATGTGTACAATATTGGCCATCAGATCGATCAACACGTTATGGTTATTTTATTGTTGATCCCGTTGGTGCTTATAATATGCCACAATATTTATTAAGTGAATTTAAAGTGACTGATTCAAGAGTAAAGATAAACTTTTTTTCGTTTTTATTTTATTAATTAAAGAAAGACAAAAAAACTTTAATTTTTAAATAGGATGGACAATCTCGTACTGTTCGTCATTTTCTATATACTGAATGGCCTGAACAAGGTGTACCAAAGATTGGTGAAGGTTTTATTGATTTTATTGGACAAGTACATAAAACTAAAGAAGGTTTTGGTCAAGAAGGACCTATTGTTGTACATTGTTCAGCTGGTAGAATTTAATTGAAAAGATTTTTGTTTTATAAGAAACTTTTTTTTTTTTATGTTAAAGGTGCTGGACGAACAGGTGTTTTTCTAACGTTAAGTATTGTACTTGAAAGAATACGATATGAAGGTGTTGTTGATATATTTCAAACGGTGAAATTATTACGCACACAACGACCAGCACTTGTTCAAACAGAAGTAAAAATTTTGAATATTTTTTTGATTCACAAAAAAAATTTTTTTTGTGTTTTTTGTTCTTATAGGATCAATATCAATTTTGTTATCGTTCTGCACTTGAATATTTGGGTTCATTTGATAATTTTGTTTCATCTTGACAATAGTTGACTTATATAGAAAAATAAATCAAATAATCTAGTCAACACAGTGACGTTTGATTTTTTTTTTTTTTTTTTTTTTGTTTCTCTTTTTAATAATAATAACTTTGTAGATTAGTATTCTCTGATAAAAAAGCGAATAAAATGTGATGTTTTACAAAAAAAAAATATATAGAATAAGGAAAAAAAAATAATAATTATGCTAGAGCTTCTTGAATTCTTTGTTTTTTTGATTGTATGTACATATTTTGTTCGTTTTTTTTTTTTTGATACTATTTTTCTAACCAAGTGTTTGGTTTAGCCTATTTTTTGTTTCTTTCCTTGTTTGTTTCCTTTTGCTCATTGTGCTATGAGAAATGTTCTTCTTTTTGTTTTTTTGTTTTTGTTTATGTGTGTATGTGTGTAATTTATTATTAGGGATGATGTTTTATTTGGAGTGTCAAGAATTGTAAAAGCTCAGATTCTTTTTTCTTTTGTTTGCAAATTTGAATTAAGAATATTTATTAATAAAATAAAAAAAAAAAGATTGTACCGATTTATTCGGAAGAACACTTTTTTGTTTTTTGTTTTTGATTTAAAAATGGTATATTATGATTATTTTTATTTTATATTATTATTTTCTTAATAAATCATATTAATTAGAATAATTATCAAAGTTTTGTTGTTTTGCTCTATAATAGAATATGTGTTTTCTTGCTAATCTGGTATATGTTAAGTAGAGTTGCTAAATTAATAGGATAATTATATAGATAGAATGTCAGGATAACGAGACAGATAGATAATTTCTATTAATAGAATTATTGTTATACTAAACAGTCATTCAATAATGTTTACTGCTTAGAATGGTAAGTACCTATGAGCAATTTACTGATTCTATTTAAGTACTAGACGATAGTACTACATTAAAAATAGTCATATCAATGATAAACACAGTTATGATCAATTACTCTAGTACAAATATTGACTCGTATTATAAAATATTTGGTTAAATTTTTGTAAATATTCAATATGTTAATTGTGCAAAAATAAGACAAAGTAATTTCTCATATTTCAGTGAAATTATTCAATCGATTTCTTGTTGACGTTGGATAAAATATTTGTTTTTTTTTTTGTCATTCATCATCACACAAAAGAGAAAAAACCATTTTATTCGACAGTATCATTTATCTTGTATAATGCAAAATAGTTAATTACCTTCGCAAACAATTGAATCATAATATTTAAGAACAAATAGGTTACAAACAATAGTTGTTAAATATTGAAAGAAAAAAAAGAAAATAACATCAAATATTTTTGATGCTAAACATTTTGATCAAACTCATCTCGAACAGATGTCTAGTCCTTGACTATTATCCTTTTTTTTTCAACTAACAATTACTATTATTCATTGACTTGATTATTTAAAACTTCTATACTCTTCAAATGTATGAAAGTGGATATTTACTTCATCTGTTTTGATGTTTTACATCACATCTTTATATTTTAATTATCATTTATAACATAAAAACTTCTTTATCATGAAATTCATACAAAATAATTTCTTATCATTATGACAAAAAAATAAAACTCAATTTTATTTTAAGCTATAAAACACTTGAATAGTTTCACTTAATAACAATAAACGTTTTACTATGCGTAAAACCTAATGATGCCTTTTTTTCTTTCTCTTCGTTCTTATATATTCATCAGTCAAGCATTTATGCAAAACATCTATTTAATATATTCAAATAAATATAATGACATTTTAAGCATTCCAAACATGTATAATCTTATATTTACAAAAGAAACCATTAAAAAAACAAAAACATAAAGATCATTAATCAATGTCATGCACGTATAAGTTATTTTTGTTTTTGCATTTTATCGTTGTTCTAATTCAATTTCATGTACAAGTTTTGTAACCCATGCAGGTACAATTGGTGTTCGATAAGCAATATATGTTCCACGATTTGTATTACAAATAATAAAATCACTATTTTCACTATTTTTCATTGTTACTGGACGTATACGTTCAATAATACCATCTGATGGAAATTTATTTAAAGGTATTATATGAGTTCGTTTTCGTCCAACAGTTCCTGGAATAGGTAATGGTATTAATTTTGATTGATTTATTTGTAAAGATGGTTCAATTAATGTCATTCTTGATGAATTATCATAATCACAATTAATACCAGAATCATCATCATCTCGAAATGAACTAGAATATCTATTTGAATTTGATTTTGCCATATTTAATTTTACTTATAAAAATATTATTTATAATTATGATGTTCTAATCGATAATAATCGACTTTATTTTATGTGACGATATGAATCATTGAATATATCAAAAACAAAAAAAAATAAATAAATAAGAAAAAAAAAAAAAAAGAAGTAATTCGATCGGTATATGGTACTATTATAACCATTCCTAATATCATTTGGGAAAGAGAAGAAAAGACAAAACAAAAATGGGAAAGGTTATATGATCATATATAAAGAATAATTTTCTTTTTTCTTCTGCGTAGAGTTGACGTGAAATATGAACCAAGTGAAATTTGATAACTCAATAGTTCCGCTTCTTTTTTATATATACATGTTTGAAATAATCCCTAATAGAAAGCTCTTATTTTGACCTGAAACCAAATTATAATATAAAACTGTAGGTGGCAAAAAAAAAATGTTTGCTTAAACCATAAAGAAAAGAAATTTGATATTTGTTTTCGTATTTGTTGATGATTATTTGCATCTGTCGAAAAACAAAAATATAAATATTCTTTTTTTCTATGCTTCTTCTTTATGATTAAAATAATAGACAGAAAAAATAAGTTAAAAAAATATCAAATTCTCTTTTAGTAAATATCTAAGTATCAACTGAAAATATATTTTGCAAAAAACAACTTAAATAATTAAAAATTTAATATAAATATAAATATATATATTAAAGTTATTGAATACTCTAAAAGATTGTCATATTTCAAAAGACTATTTTTTTTTGGAAATCTTCAATTAATATATTCGATCGTTCTCATTAACTATCTACAGTTTAATGCATGAATTAATCTTTTAACTATCAAAATATCTTATGTATTCTTATTAATAACATTTTTTGATTATCACAATATATTTTGCATGGAAATTGTTTGTTAAATACACATCATTTATTCTTAATTGTCTAAATTGTAGAAAATAAAAAAAGTCAATTTACTACTTTGCATTCTCTTAATATGAACTCTTCTTTTTTTTTTTTTTTGTTCAAAAACTTGTTAATCGACCTACTTGCAAACTTCGGGTACCTGTATTATAGGTCACATTAGACTTATGTATAATGACTTTTAAATAATCTTTTTTTTTTTTTGAAGTTCTCTTGAATTTAAATACATGATTTTAAACTTAATCTATGTTTTACATAGAAGAAAATATAATGTGTTAAGATGATTAAGTATTTGGAAAAAGTTTATCTTAATTAAAAACATTAAGATATTTTTTTTTTCTTAGATAACATATAGTTTTCTTATTTGTAGTTATGATTACTTCTTACTAATTCAAATAGTTCTTAATAATTTGTTTGACTTAATTAGAGGTTATTTTGTTCTCAAAATGAAGAACTAAAATATGAGCTATTAACATAATAATAGTGTCAATAAATTGGCCCTATGATTCTTTTGATAAACTTTTTGAATATACTCTAGTATATACTTGTTATTCTATATATTCTATTAAATAATTTTGTCTAGGTCAAGAAGAATCTTATATGACTAGCATATAAAGTTCTTATTTAGTTTATTTACTTGTTTTTCCTTCATTGATTATTAACTTATTTTGTTTCATAATTGACTATTTTCAATAGAGAAAGTGTTCTTATTTTTCTAGACATTTTTCTTTCGGTACATCATGGTGTAAAATTATTCAAATAATATTTTCAAAAGAAAACATGGTTTGATTATTAATTAAGATAATATAAACTATAAGTTCAGAATAGAATTGTCAATAGGGAAATTGTTTTTTTGAAATTTTCTTTTTGAAAATATTGATAGATATCTAACTAATTAAATATTCAATCAAAAAAAATAAAATATTCTATATAAACATATCTATGATAAATTATAGTATATTTTCAAAAAAAAAAATAAAGACAATCAAATTTTTTCTTTTTGATAAAAATCAAAAATTTGATTAAGCAAAATTTTTTTCTTTTTGTTCTTATATATATATATATATAATTCAATAAAATTAGTTTTATATTGAGAAGTAGTTTTATTCATTTAATATGCAAACGAACTAACAAAACAAAAAAAAAATAGAATCACGTAACGATGATTGATTTTTTTTTATGTTTATATATGACAAGGTCAAATTATGCAAAAAAAAAAACTATACATGTCAAATATTATTTTAATTTATATTAGTTGGTGTAATTAATACATCATGTTGTTGTGGAGTTAGTGATACTGATGTATCATCAATAGGAGATGAAAAAGAAGTTTCTTGATTACTTAATTTTTTCATTAATACACCATTTATTTTTCCATTTGATGTTGAAGATTTTATATGTGAATATTGTTGTGAATATGAACCTATTGTTGATTCACCTGGCATTTGATATGTTGATGGACGTTCATATATATCTCCATCACCAAAATTTGTTAATTGTGTTGATAAATTACTTGTTTGACGACGATTTAAACACCAACATATTTTAAATAAACATGGTACAATTTTTTGAAATTCTTTACGAAAATTATCATTTAACCATGAATATAAAAAAGGATTATAAATTGTTGATGACATAGCTATAACATGTGTACTTAAAAAAAGTACTTTATAATGACTTAATTGTGAACGATGAAATTCTGCAACCATATGAACAATATTTAATGGTAACCAACATATTGCAAATATAACAACCATTGCAATTAACATACGATTTGTACGTTTTTTACGACATATTTCAACAGCTTCACGTACACGTGTACGACCTGGTAATGAACGACGTGCTAATGCAACCCATACTTTATAATAACTAAATGATATAACTGAAAATGGAATTAAATATTGTAATATTAATGATGAAAAATTAAAAAAACGTCGAGATGTATATTGTGGCCAATATTCCTATTTGAATGATAAAATAAAACAAAAAACAAATGTAATCAAATTTATTATTTTTTATTATTTACTTCACATTTTGTACTATCAAATCGCATATATATTGCTAATGGTAATGATATAGAAATACCAACAATCCATATAACAATTATTAATAATATGCATACACCTAAACGCATACGTGAACGAAATGGATGAACAATAACAAAATAACGATCAACAGCAATTGCTAATGAGGTTAATGTTGAAACATAAACTATTTAAAATAAAAAAGATTTAGAATTAATAAAATAAAGAAATAAATAAATCTTAGGAATTAATATTTACCTGATATTCCTAATGACATTGGCACTAAATGACAAAGTATTCTACCAAGATACCAAGTATTGCCATACGCTGATATAGGTGTAAACGGAACTGCTAGACAGCACATCTAAGAGAAATATGAAAAATAGATTTTATCTATTTAATTATTGAATATAAATTTCTTACTAGAATATCAGAAAGTGCCAAGTTAGTAATAAAGACATTTGTTACTGTTTGCATGGCTTTATTACGGCAAACAACAACTAGAGACATAAAATATAAATTGATTGCTTTTTTCGACTTAAACTAAAACCTAATACTTACGAACAACGAGTACATTTCCACAAATACCAAAGAAAAATATCAAAACATATAACGATATAAATGTTGCCATAATATATAGTTGATTTTCAAGTGGGATTGTTTCTGTTGGTGTACTCATTGTGATGACTGAAGTTTTAATTATATGAGTAGTAAACGGAGATATATTGATTGGAATATGACTACTATGATTAAATATTATGGACATTTTTTTTTTGAATATTCAATAGAATTATATCTAAAAATGCAAAAGATTATTTCATTTATGCTTCATTGAATATATTAAAATAGGAGAAGAATATTTGACTTAATAGAGACATCTCGTTTGCATGCTATTTTTTTTTTTCTTGCTCCCGTTAGAGATTATTCTTTTAATATGGTTACATTTCGTTTATCTTAATTCCCAGAAGATGTTCACTTTTACATACCTTTATTTCTTCCTGATTAAGTGGTAGAAGATTTCCCTTGACTAGATATTTATATGAAAAAAAAGAAAAAGTGTATAAATATGTATGTCATTTACACGTTGAGCAGATGACAAAGAAGTCGTTGTTTCTCTTGTTGTTTCCTCTATATCTTTTTTTAATAAACACTCTTCTCTTTTTCTTCTTCTTCTTCTTCTTCTTCTTTCGATTCAACATGCTATTTAATAGAATGGCTCTGTTTGTGTGAATGCAAAAATGCGCATCTTACTCCTATTATTCTAGTCATGACTATATTGTGCTATTTTTGATAGAACTCTTGCTTTTTTTCTTGCATAGTTTTTTTTTTTCTCTAACTAGAATTTTTCTCTTCTATTATATTAGGTCTTTCTCTTTTCTTTTCTCTGCTTTTAGACATAAGATATAATAACAAAAAAAGCAGCAACCCAACGGAGAGCGAGAGTATGAGAACTTGGAAAAAAATGGTTCATGTGTTTTTCTGCAAATAAAAAATGGAGCGTAAAAAAATAAGCATAAAGATGCAACGTTCTTGCATACATATGCATTGTCGAAAAAAAAAAAAGAAGAAAGAAGTCATCTTTTAAAAGAATATAATGATGAATAAACTCGCTAGAAACAAGAAGCTTTCTAATTATTCTAGTGACAGAAAGGCATTATCATTCATAGTATTTCTGTCTTAATGTTGTCATTTTTCTTTTTCTTTTTCTTTTTTTTTTCATTGAAAAAAAATATATGATCTATTAAATCAAATAAAAGCTTTAATGAATAGAAAACATTATTAATTTACTATAATAATCTTTCTTTTTCCTAAGTAACATTGGTTTCTGCTCTATTTACAATATTATATGAAAAAAAAAAACAAGAGAGAAAAATCCAATGATAAAAATTATTTTCTTTAGAAAAATAAACAGGAAATTTTATTTGCTACGATCCAATTTTATTAATTTAGTAAACAAAAGAAAAAAAAGAAAAAGAATCCCGATGTCCTATAATCTAATATAATTAAACTATTGGTTTATTTTTGAAATTATTCTGACGACAACAACGAACAAGAAAAAAATATTTCCAAGCCTTTTGATATTTTTATGTGACACAAATTATTATTCAAAAAGAAATATTCTATTCTAAATTTAAATACTTTCTTGTCAATAACATATGATATGAATAAATTCTATATTAGTAAAACTTAAATCAATAGTAAAAAAATAACAAATTGATTGTGACAAAAAAAAAAAAAAATGTATTTTTTCTTCATGTCTCATAGATTAATTATCATTAGATGAACTATAAAATATTTTAACAGGAAAACTTTACATCTATAAAGAAAATTTCGGAAATAATTATAGAAAAGATTATGAAAATTTTCTTTTTGTTTGTTTTTTTATTCAATATATTTTTTTGTGCTGTAAAAGTTGATTAATTATTTTTTATTCACTGTAATAAATAGAAAATATATTTTATACATAGCAATTAAAACAATATCTGAGCAATTTTTTAATAATAGAAAAAAGAAATTTTGGTCAAAAATGATAGAATCCATTTCATGCAGTTGATATTTGTAATTAAGTCTCAGAGCTTTGTTTCAAAAAAAAAATGTGCTTGTCAGATCAAACATTCTATTGTTTATTATTAATAAATGTTTCTGATTTTTGTTTTTTGTTTTTCTACATCAAAAGATTGTTATTTAATTTAATTAATAGAAACTTTAATAAACATTTTTCATTTATTACTAAAAACAAAAAAAAAAAAAAGACAAATCATTTTTGACATTTTCAAAGAGAAAATAATTCAAATAGATATAGAGAAATTCTATTAAGTACTGTTCTGTAACTTGAATAAACACAGAGATATGATCATTTTTTTTCTTCTTTTGCTGATATATATTTTCCACAAAAACTCATTTTTCTTTTTATTTCAATGGAATAAAGAATGATGCGTTTAGTTATTAGATAAAATGTGACAATGAGTGTTATTCTCGTCATAGTTATTTATTCTTGAATGATTTTAGAATGACGTATCATAATTAATATACATTTTTTTTTTTTTTTGTTGTGCTTTTCAAAAGAATTTTATAAGTTCATTCAGTAAAATTATCATTAATGATTTTAATGTATTAATTTTGTTTATTTAAATTTTATTTTCAAGTTTATTTCACTAATGAAATATTAGATTCGTTGCACTTGACTTCCTGTAAAAATAAATTTTAACTGCAATATATATAATTTATATATATATTGCCTAGATAATTACAGGAGACGAATGATTATATCCATATAATATTATAATAAGTTATGCCCTTGAGTTTTTATTTTGCTCATAGGAAAAATTTTTCCGTACAATAATATTTCCAGTTCTTATCTATGCCTTAGGATAATGTACCCATAAGTTGAAAGAATCTATTATTACTTTTCTTTTTATTACTGATTCTATACTGTTTTTATTCAAGTCAAAAAAAGACATTTTTTTTTGTTTTTTTGTTTGATTTATTGAAGCAAATATGTTACTGTCGCTTTTTTTCTAATTACAAAATGTCTAGACATCTGCGTAGTACATCATCATGTATATTGTAAAGATGATAAAATTATTCAATATTCTATTCATTTAAAGTAAATATCGGAAATGCTTTTGTAATTATTTTTTTTTCATTTATACAAAATCTAAATCAAGTATAATAAAAAAAAAAAAAAAAAAAGAGAATTATCATTTATTTTCTATCTAATACAAAAAAGAAAAAAAGTTGCTTTTGTTTTTTTTTTTTTACTTTAAATAAAACAAAAGAAAAGATTTTCGTTGTGACAAGAAAAAGACGACATAATGAATATAATCAAGACCAGAAGAAAAAAGAAAGAAAAATGAAATTTTTTTGCATGCATTCACTAATTCAATCAAGAGGAAAGAAAAAAAAAGTTTTTTTTTTTTTAAAACCAAGCTTAGAAAATCAAAAAGAATAAAGAAATATATTAGTTTTTTTTCTTTTTTATGTTATACCGATGTGGAACCAATTTTATGTTTCATATTACCATTAGAATTATGATATTGTTCTGGTGGTAATTCACGATGAATTAAATGTTCAGCTTCTTCCTACAAAAAAAAAAGAAAATATCGAAATCATTTTTTGCTTTTCTATATTACAATAGATAAGAAATATTAAGCAAAAGAAGAAGCAGAATTAGCACGAAATTATAAATATATATATATATTACAAGCAATATTCAATCATCTTCAGGATGACCAGCAACAAATGTCACCGTTGGTATATGCGAAGATTTTTGTGATTGATTATTTTTATTCTTATTGATTTCTGGTGATGTGACCTACAAGCAATAATGTGCATAGGTTAAATGAATTAAATATTACTATCACCAAAGTTTATGTGTGGTTTTTTTTTTTTTTATCCCATCTTTATAAAAAGAGCATCATAGTTTCAGTTTTTGGTTTAAAAATTCAAAACAAAAAAAAAAAAGGAAAAACGAAGAAATATAATATATGCCTTTACAGTTTTTTCTTCTTCTTCTAATTCCTCTGATGGTAATGCTTCTGTGACAACAATCAATGGAGCATGTGATTGATCAGAATCACTAGTTGGCATATGACCATCATTGATATAATCTTGTTTCATTGATGTATCTTTTATAATCTAGATGAAAGGAAAAAAAATAATCACAATATATCATGCATAATTAATTTTTAAGCCATAATAAATCAAATATTCTAGTTCATCATTCAAATCATAAAAATAAAACCGACCTCTGCAATGCTTCGTAGATTATTTCCTGTTATATCTCGATTAATATCAACGTCAAATTTAACAATTGGTGGCTGAAAATGATATTTTTTTTTTGTTTGTTTAGTTTTTTTTTTTTTTTTTTGTTGATAAAAATAAAAATCTATTTACTGTTATTGTTTCATTATTATCATCATCATTATTTTTTTTTTCCATATGAACATGACGAGCAGCTGATGTACGACGAACACGACCAAGTTTAGTACCAGGTAATATATCATCAAGCCAAAAAAGTTCTTCTTGTGTAAATATTTTATCCATTAATTTACGTACAAAACATGTTGCAAGTACCTAAGAAGAAAAACAAAAATAAGATTTTTTTAATTAATTAATTAATTCAAATTTACCAATACTGGAAAACCAATTGCGATTGATTTAACACTTTTTATAGCAAACATACCAGCAAGTGAAACAACTTGTATAGCCGTAAATAAATGAACACGTGTTATACGTACATGACGTAAATATGGATAATCAGGTTGATGTTTTTGTGGCATAAACATTAATAAAACTCGATCAAAAATCTTTGAAAATATTAATGAAATAAATAAATAAATAAATAAATAAAATATTTCAAATTTACATACTTGCATATTTCGTAGAGCTGATACACCCATAAACATGAAAACAGCATAAAGAACAGGCATTGGGATATGCTGAAATGGAAAAAAACAAAACCAGATTTGTTTAATCAAAATTAGAAATAATTTTTGTTTTTTTAGTCATTAGTCAGATTCTTGTTAGATATAAATCAATGGACTTTTTTTGTTCTATCAAGATTTTCTCTTCCGGAAGGATAATTTAAAACTTCGGAACGGCAAACACCTATTGTTTATTTGTAATACAATAATGGAATGTTATCCTTCGATTCCTATGCTGAATAAAATATGATAACATATTATTTTATTTGAACAACAAAACATTCATTTTATCTCTTTCAATGTCATAAGATAAATACGAATATAATCTCAATTATTATTATCGTTAAGATCGAGAAAAAAAAATATTTGATGAAACTAACATAATTTCGAAGTTCTTCCTTTTTGCTTGACAAACGTTAGATCTATAATAATGAATCTATTATAACTATATGTAAATAAGTATTCTTTGAGTGTCACTAATCCTCTTATCATGAAGATGTCTGCATAGTAAAAAAAAAAACAAGATCTTTAGTCATGCAAATAGATGCTGCGAATCATGCTTAAAAAATACATGCTTAATAATTAGTATTTATTATTATGATCATTGAATTTCTAATTGTAAACCTTTTGCTTTTTTTTTCTTTTTACAATGATTGCTATTATGATTTCACTGTATGGTATAACATGCTGACTATCCATCATCGTATTTATTGTATATATGAAACTTAACCTATGAAGCGAAAGAGATCTCTTTAAACTAACCGTCTGTGTTCAGAGATCGGGAAGATGTTTCTAAAAAAAAGAGTTGTAACGTCAAGTGTTCTACTGATTTGTTTTTTTTTTTTTTTTGTTCATTAACAATCAATAACTTTTTAAATACATACAGCTAAAACATTAGTGAAGAATACACTTAGACCAGTTAAAATAGCCATTAAAAGTGCACTAACACGTTGTTCACTAAAAAGCAAAAGGATAAAATTTTTTTGTTGTAAATAAAAAAGATCTTTCTTACATAATGCCTTCAAATTTTGGTTTTTCTCCTGGTGCTGTATTTTCACTCATAATTTTTAATGCATTAACATGTGTTAATGCTAAAACTGTAGCTGCTACAAACCATGGTAAACCAAGTAATGATTGCAATAATACTGTAAGAGATAAAACAAATAAATCAAGATGATAACCAAGTTTTTTCTAATGAGAAACAAGAAAAAAAAAAATGTCAAATTATATAAATCAACGAAAAAAAAACATTTTTTTTTTTTTGTTTTTAATTTACTTTTAATTTAAATTCTTTTCGATTTATAATAACAGCTGTTATTTGTTGATCCATAAATATAAGTATTGTTGCTATTAATGCTGGAATAATTGCTATTGGTATTGACCATATAGGATTTTTACCAAAAAATGGTATTAACCATCCACGTTCATGTGGTAATGTTGGTTTTAATTCATTTGGTACTTTTAATTTTGGTGTATTTAAATGTAAATAAGAATCCCATCCTGACATTAATACTATAGCAATTAATACAGAAAAATCTCCAAGAATAGTTCGAATCTAAATTATTAATAAGAGAAAGAATATTTCATATATATATATATATATAAATGTTGTTATTTTACTTTTGATGGAAAAAATTTACTATGACGAAATTCTTGTAAACCCATACAAATAGAAAATGTAATCATAAATAAAATTAAAGAATAAAAGAATATATCAGCATAATAAACAGGTGGTGAACATTTTGGACCAATTATAGAACCACCTACGTTTATACATGCATTTTGAAATGTTTGATTTAAATTTGTTGTACTTAATAAATAATTTATCATATGTGTATCATGAACTATTGTTTTATTATGAATTGAAGTTATATTTACACATGAACATGTATAATTAAATATACTATTTCGTTCATAATTAATTGGATATGTTTTACGAATGTTTAAAATTTCACGTATAGCATCATAAATAAATATTGTTGCAACTAATGATGCAAAACAATCTTCAGTAAAACGTGTTATATATTTAACAAGAAAACTTAAATTAAATACAACAAATATAAATAAAAGTACAAATACCCAAACACCAATCCATAAACGAAATTCAAGAAAATCAAGATGATAATCTCTATAATAAAAAATAAAAACGATATTTTATAATTAAGTTATAAAAATAAAATAAATAATTATTAAACATACCCGCACATATGTTTTAATATACGTTCTAAAATTAACATAGGACCAGTTGCCGAAAGAATATTTAATGGTTGACCAGAAAATAAAGCATATAGAATACCACTGATTGAAGCTGAAAGAATACATTCCATTGTAGCCTAAGATAAATAAAATAGAATATTGAAGTTAAATATCTTTAACAATCATATTCGATAATATTATTTAACAAACGAAAAAATTCAATTGATACGAAATTTATCTCATTTTCTAATAAACTTTTATCATATAGTAGCACAACAAAAGAAGTAGATTTCGAAGTAAAATTGATTCTATCAGGAGATGTATTTATCAAACTTCCATTAACAGACTTGTGTCAAAGAACTTTCAGTAAAACCACAAAAATAAATTTCCTGAATTCTATTAAAAAAACATCTTGTCAACAAGTTCAATTGATAGAGACAAAAACACATTTCTGATGTTTAACCTACACTCATTATACAAAAGTCCTCAAAGTATGAAAAAAACAGGAAATTCATATAGATTTTTATAAAAACAACAGACAACAGCTTTGTATACTTATCATACAATAAGTGTTGCTCGTTGAAAAGATCTTGAGGACATGTTATTTCATTTAGAAATGTTTTCCTCTATAAGATAAACTTGTTTGCAAAACATCTTTTGATAGAATCTACAAAATGAATGAATATTTTTCAAGTATTTTAAGTTATTTTCTCTAATAAATAAGTTCATCATATAAAGAGATTTTTTTTTAATGAAAGATAAGAATATTTTACCATATAATTTTCTGTTGCCGTTCCAAGCATACCACCAAAAGCAACAACTGAACAAAGACAAACAAGATATAAATAAAGTGTAGCTGCTATACATTGTAAACTAGCACAATCAGTAAAATCAGATATATAAAATGGTATTTTATTTTTAATATCGACGAAAAGACCATGAAATGGTCTAGAACAATTATAATAATTCAATAGGAAATTTTTTTTATTTTATTTTTTACCTTTTTGATGCTTTTAAATTTGGATCTGTATGAGGAGTTAAATCAATCTCCTCAACTTGTCCTACTGTTTCTGTTGGTACTTGAGCTTGTCGTTGTTCCTAAAAATTAAAATTAAAACAAAACAAAACAAAAAAAAAATCTTTCCTATATAAACTTACTTTGCTCATATATTGTGACGGTGGTTCAATACGAATTGTTGGATCCCATTCCGATGGTGGAAGAACATATGTATCTTGCATAAATCTATCCATCATATCCAAAATACCTTGAGAATCTTTTGATGTATAAGCAAATTCTCTACATATATCATCAGTTAATATTGTTGCCACTGTTCGTCCAACTTGTAATAATTGTTTTTCATTTTCTTCAGGTCCAATTAAAAGAACAACGAAACGTGAATAAAGTTTTATTTCAAGCATTCCTAATAATTCAATAGCATTTTCAAGACGTACAAATACAATTGCTGATTCACGAACAAAATCAATTGGACATATTAATATAGATGCACCTTCAGTTTTACGACTTAATTTTCGTTGTAATTTTACATTATAATCCTAAATGATGAAGTATATTTAAATAAAAAAGATCGGTTCGTATCTCATAATTTATTTTTTCTTATTTTTTCATGCATTTAATAGATTAGTGTAAATATCATTTTTATATTCTTATATTTTTTAATCAAAAAATTTTTAATAAGATTTTTATCGAATTTTAACTATTGATGAATGATTTCAATAATTTTTGCATTTAGATACTGCATAATGTTCTTATAAAAACTCTAAAAACATCTCACTTCCTATTGAGATTTGACCAAGCTATTGCATTTTTAATTTGTATATTTATCTAGAGCTAAAGATTGTCGAAAAATTCAACTAGACTAAGTTTCATAAAAAAAAAAATCAGAAGTGTTGAATGAAGTCTTTTCGAGATATAAGACTTTCGAAAAAAATGCATGTTGTATATAATGACGAACAAAAGTTTAGAGCAGCTGTATTTTGAAGTTTTTCTTCTCAACGATAATAGCTAGCAAGAATCTGAAAAAATATTTGTGTAAAGAAAAGGATTCTCTCTTAAGATTGGTAGGTTCGAATACTGCTACAAAACTGCTTAATCTTTTGAATACCGGCGATGCGAATTCGCGTCCCGATAGTTTAGGGTCTGAGGAACTTTAGAAAACATGATCCTTTGATTATTTTATGATATGAATTACATGAATATTTGCGTTTAGGATATTTGTACGGTTAAGACTATCTATACCTAGTGATGAATATTGGTTGTTCCCTAATATTTCTATCGACCACTATGTGATTCAATGAATTAGAACATAAGTCATTTGGACAACATTTCCCAAGAAAGAATAATCGTTATCAACAGGATTTTTCATATTAATGCAGTCATTCAAGAGTATTATCTATAGTAAAGGTTCTGATCAATTGATCATATTTGATAACATTTTCCTTCGTGCATTGAATCAACAGCGACTCAACTAAATCCAAGAAGAAAATGTTACGTTTGTGCCAATACTGTGAGAAGAGCCAGATTAAGAAGAGATACTTCGTATGAATGCATTGAATGTGATGTAGGATTGTGTCTTATGGATTGTTTTAAAGACTATCACACTCTACAAGTATTTTAATTCATGTACTTTGTGATATTTTTTGCAAAATAAATGTTAATTTGAAATTATAAAAATTTTTATTATATAAAAATAATCCTGTACTCAAAGGATTAAACAAGGGTTTGCGAAAAGTCAAGATTCCTCAAACCAGCTTTCTGACTTTTATTCGAAGCCTTTTGGAAAAGGTTTTATTTGATAGAGCAAAATGAGATATCTTCGATCTCTTCATGACTTTTATTCATCGAATCGCATTCAATTTACAGAAGATTAACGAAGTATTTTTCTCGTCCTTTTATTGAAAATTTCAATGTGTTTGCTATGTCTGACACTTTGAGGCTTTCTGTAAATTGAATGCGGTTCGATAAAGAAAGGCCATGGGAAGTCGAAGACACCTCATCTTGCTCTATCGAATAAAATCTTTTTCCAAAAGCTTCGAATGAAAGCCAGAAAGCTGGTTTTGAGAGTCTTGGTTTTCTGCAGACTCTCATCCAAACAGTTCTGCTGAAATTTTCGAGCCTATCAATCCTGATAAAGAATCCTTTCAGCTATACAAACACTTCTTTCAGATTCTTACTAACTATTACCATCAAGAAGAAAACTTCACCATGCAGCCACTCTAAACTTTTGTCCGTCACTATACACTCTTCATTGAAAAGGACCTATGCCTTAATAATCTCATATCTCTCTCAACGAATTCCTTTTAAGATTTTTATTAGAACACTATGTAGTATCTATAGACAAAAAAAACAATCCTTGAAATCGAAAGAAGGCAGCTGGATAGATTCCCTCACGTGGGTATATCAATAGTAGTGCTTCTGGTAGATAAAAGCGCATCAGATAGTGTTAATTAAGTTTTTGTTTCAAATAATCTTTAATTAAAAAACTTCATCATATTGGTTACAGTACTCAATACAGTGATTAACAACTAATACAATCAATGAAATTTTGTTGAACATAAGTGACTAAAGAAAAATAGTGAATACATGAAATGATAGTAATTGAATATTTTAATCAAAGATTATCTGAAACAATAAATTGATTTAATTCTTTTCCTCTGAGATTTACAACAATTTTTCGTATGTCTTAACTAATATTGTATATGAAAAAATTAAGATTTTAAAATTCATTATTTTTACTTTACCTTGGCCGATCGTTCTGGCGTACCATTTGTTTCACTATGTTCGGCTAATAACATATCTTGAGTTGATGGTTTACTAATTAAATGTAGTGCTGACATATCTTGTGCATTATCAACTTCATCATCTATTTAAATAAATAAACAAAATACATAAATTGAAGAAATCATTTTATATAAACCTCGTCGTGAAAGATGATTAATAATAAAACTTGGACTTTGATGAAGACCTTGTTTACTTAAACTAACTGAACTTGCAGTTTTCATAACAGAACGTTTTTCATGATGATGAAAATGTGGTAAACCAAGAATCCAAACAATTTTTTGAGCTTTATCTACATCATCAATATAATTCGAATCAATAAGTGCTTGACCAATTGTTTCTAAAAAAAAAAAGAATTTTTTTTTTCATTTAAGAAACAAAAAAACACATTTTTTTAAAAATTATACGTGAAATTGCTGTTAAATCAGTTCCTTGAACATTAAGAAGAATAATTCCATTATTTACTAAACTTTTTAAATCTGATAAAGCTGTTTGCATCAATGTTGCTACATGAGGTTTTGACCAACGACCAAGAACATTTTCTGCTATTTCTTCAAAACGTACCCAACTTAAAATGAACAAAAAAATACATAAATAAATAATTCAAATACAAAAAAAAATTAATTGTTTTCTCTTTTTTTTTTTTCTAAATACCGTGCTTTCTCTTTCCAATAAGCATATTCAACTCCTTCTTCTGATCGACGAAGTACATCCAATTGACAAAATAATTGTGGTACATCATTTTCAGCAAAGCCCAAATTGAATGTATGTCGAGTAGGCTATAAAATAAATCAAATAGAGGAAATTGTACATTTTATGTCTTGTATTTCCTTCTTGGTTTTTCAATTGTGATTATCTATTATATTATTTTTGTTTAATACCTGAGGGCCAAGAAATATACTATGTCTTTTTGCTGCCACCGGCGGTAACATTCGGTATGAGAATCAAACGATGGAATAAAAAAAGCAGCTGACTTTATTATTTATTATGTCCTTGACTAAACTCGTAGTTTTCTTTTATTGTTTTAGAACATATGGAAGGGACGGGAGGGGGAGATGAGAGTATGCAAAATTACACACCCATCTTATCCTTGAAGATAAATAATCTAGTTTTTTATTTTTTGTTTTTTTCAAAATCTATTGTTTTTCTTTTATTTTCGTATATAGACGATGGAATACAAACAAGTTAAGAACAGAATTTGATGGGTTAGTTTTTTTTTTCAGTTAGAAACTTACCTTACCTCTATCGTGCGGGGATGGTGAATTTGTTGCATCACTGTGTCCGTGTCCGAATGCCGTCGATTTGCCCCGTCTATAGAAAAAAGGAAATTATTTGAAATATTTTTAGACAAAAACTAATTAATTAATAATTGAATTTCTCGATACATCACATACCTCTACGCCTGTTATCGTTGATGCTCAATTTTTGAAAAGCAATCAACAATCTGCTGCTATATTTCTTATATTTATCTACTTCTAATCAATTTTTTTTTTGTTCATAAAAATGATTTAGTGATCTTTAACAGCACCCGATAAAATGCAAATTTACCTGTCGTATGTATTTCTATAAAAAGAAATATGATGAATATAACATACTTACTCCATTATGTATATATGTATATATATATATATATATATATATATGCAAATTTGTTTTTTATTTGATCAAAAGAAGGAGCTAAGAGTCTGTATGAATGATTTCTCGTACTTTTTAGTTCTATCCAATGAAAATAAAAAATAATCTTCCGCTTTATGTATATATAGGTAAAAAAAAAATCTTGGTCGTATGTGTTATAATATCAAGGCGTTAATAGGCGTCCTTTTTCTTTAGGATGCGCTTTTCTTATTTTTTATTGTTGAAAGTTTGCTTTTGTCTTTGACATTGAATTCAAATTATTATCGACATTTTCTTTATCGAATAAGCATTTACTTTCTTGGTAAATGTTTTTAACTTAACCACATCGATTCATATTTATATGTCAACATCCAAACTAAGATTACGTTTAAAAAATATTGTAGATTTGTTAGTGAATTTATATTATATATTTGAATTTATCTATAGATCAATGTTAATTTTAGATTTTAATTAATTAAATTATCATAGAACAATAATATGAATTACTTTAATAGAAAATTGTCTATTTTGTTATTCAAATTATTAAATGATTGTATTACTTGAAATAATATTAATTTATTAATTAAACTTTTATGTTATCATTGATCTCTCTATATATTAATTTACGTTTTAATATATTTTCTTCGTCCAGTACAAGATTGGACGAAATCTAAGCTAAGATATTGACATATATTTATATAAAAGACCAACTTTTCGATAAATAAATATTTCTTTGCAAATTCTTTTCATAGAATTTCTTTATTATATACAATTATCAGAGTAATGTATATATATATATATTGGAAGGAAAAAAAAATCATAAGTAAAACACCTTTTCAAGGTCACTGACTAATATACATTATCGATTAATCAATCCTAATGAGACTATCATGATAAACATCGCGTTGCTTCTCACCTGTCACAAAATGATACAAATTATATTATTTTTTGTGCTAAAAATTTCTTAATAGGCCTACGAGTATAACATCACTTCTTTTTGTTAATACTTGACTATTTAAGTATGCATCTATATATATCCTTCACTATTTAAGTATGTGTATATATATATACATATGATCAGAATCGTTCTTATAGAAAAAAAAATGCATAGTCAAATAGATCGATTAAAAAGTAAAATCACTCAAAAACTCATAAGCGAAAGAAACCAAATAACCTAAAATATACATCAAATATTTTGCCTGTAAATATTGATATAGTAGTTTTGAAAAAAAAAACGATTAGAATTCGATAATTTGAATAATTTCCATGACAACGTAAAATTCATCTTTTGAAGGACATGTAAATTGATAGTAGTTTGTCAATTATATTTGTTCGTTTGCTATTTCTTATTCATAAAAATCGATTTGTTTTTTAAGTACGTAGTTGTCAAAAAAAGAAACCTAACAATTTTATGCTATTGATCGAACCTATTGACTTTTTTTCTAAGAATAAATAAATCTTTTCGTGTCCAGTTTTAAAATAATTTTTCTCTTTTTGTCTTCACTCATACATTTATAAATTAGATTCAATATTTCATAAACAGAAATACTTACCATACGGCTTTGGACTTAAATATACATTTAAACCATGTCCAGAATCCATATTTGAATTATAACATAGAATAAAAATTGTCTTGTAAGGTCTTTCTCTTTTCTTTTTATACTCAAAAACTGCCCAGTATTTTTTTTTTTATTGAATATTCATCAGTTAAGAGTAACCTGCAATGATGATTTTTTTTTAATGTCTCTGTACAAATCATCGTATGTCTCACATGGCCTTACCTGTAAAAAATCACCATTTTTATCATTATTTTGATCTTCCTTTAAATGTAAGAGAAGTATATTTATATCTTTTTTGACGTCAATCAATTTTATTCGATCATATATAGATATGTATACATGTTCACTTATTCTTTTCTTAATTGCTATGAGCAATATTTAAAAAAAAAAGTAAAAAATGGTGTCAACGATAATAATCACGGAGAAAACTAGTGATCATGCAATCCAACGACGCATTTTACCAAAAAAAAAAAGAATAAAAGAAAACACAGTCACGCAGGTTAGAAAGGCATTGCTCATAAAGAATAAAACAATAGAGTCATACATAAAACGATAGTCACATTCTTTTCTCACGTATATATATCTCACAACTACTGTGAAACACAAAAAAAAAAAATTAAATACAAAAAAATTAAAAAAAAAGAACAAAAACAAAATCCCCGGCATATTAGATTTAATAAATTTCGTTTTCAATTTTCACAACTGTCTGTTTTTTGAAGTCATTATTATTGCTATTACAATTTTCATATACAATAGATAATAATTAGAGAAAAAAAAAAGAACATTTCAAGTACAAGTTTTTCCTTTTGCTCATATTCCGTGTAGTAATTCTAATGATCATTCATGGTTTTATTGCACTAAATAGGTTAATTTTTCTTCTATTTCCTAAGGTGATAAAAAAAAAATAATAGGGTGTCAAAATAATAATAAAGAATCTTTTCAAATATTCTTACATTTGGAATTTTTCTTTGTTGGTGTTTGATTGGACAAACGTGACGATGTTGTTGACATTGTATTATCAGTAAAAGTTTGTCGACGTCGTTGTTTTATTAAAGAAATTTTATTATCTTTCATTTCATTATTTGTATCTGCAGGTAAGGATGATTTTCGTTGAGGAATATCCAATGATGTTTTTAATAATCTTGCACTTCGTAATGGTGTTGTTTGTTTATTTGATATTGATGTATCTGTAAGACGTTTTGATATTGTATATTGATCATTTGATTTACTTAATGAACGACGTGATGATATATCAATTTCATCAAGTGAATATTCTTCATTTTCTTTTTTTTTATCATTATTATCATCAGATGAATGATTTGAAAATACTGGTAATATATTATATGAACGTATTTGATCTAATTGTAAAAGACCATTATTTGCAAGATCATGTAATGTTAATGTTTTATCAGCAAGAAAATATTCCATCATTGTTTCTATTTTTAATATTGATTGACTATCAGCTGGCAAACGAAGAATAGATTTTATTTCAATAAGTAATGGAACTAATTGAATTCGAACCTAGAATAAAACATTAAAAAAATAATAATGTTAAACTCGAAATTGAATTCATTTTCGATATACTAAGAGTCGTTTTTTTTTTTTTTTTTTTTTTATTTTATAAACTTACACTTAAAACAGGATCATATTCAATTGAAAGAATTGTATCAAGAAAATTTTCTTTAAAAAATCGTTTTGAATAATGAACAAGTATTTGTCGACATACTCTTATATACATAATACGCCATTGATAAGATTTATTAAATAAAAGATCAGTTTTTAATTTTTGAAATGCACCTCGTCTTATTGATCGTCGTGGAATTTTTCTTAATAATTGAACATAACTATCAACAGCTATTTCACGTACACAAACTTGTTTCTAAAAAAAAACAAAAAAATATCATAGGTGTAAAATAACAAATAATAATTAAGAAACTTATTTGTTTTTTTTTGCTTACACTATATATACGCGACAAAATACGTGGTAAAATTTTTGTTTGAATTTGTTCACTTGATAATAAATATGATAAATGAACAAATGCTTGAAGACATAATATACATGAACGCCATGATAGTGTATTTTCAAATATTCGTCGTTCATATTCTAATAGTTGATTTATAAATGTTTCTGAATCAGCAATCTATTAAATTTTATTGAAGAATTTTTGTAAATAACGACTATTATTATTATGACACAATTGGTTTTTCTTTTCTCCATTATTCTTCTTTAAGAATATTGCATGTTTTTCTCGATAATCAATACATAACGAGAAAATATAGATTTTACTACATTGCATGACATATTAATCATAAATAACAAGTCAAGCTCAAAGGACTTAAAATACATGATAAAAAACAAGAGAAGATAGTTTCTTTTTTGCTAAAATTTGCTCGTAAGAGAAAACTATGTTTTTTGTCTCTGATTTATTTATTTATCTATGAACATCTGAATAATTAAAAGTTCCGTTGTATTAACCTTTGTATCTAAATAAATACTCAGACAATGATTGTATTCACGCATAGAAAAATAAAGAAGAAACAAAAACACTATTACCTCTTATGGTACATTATATTTAGAAAAAAAAGAGTACGTCGCCTTTTTTTTTGTGATGTATTTCAAACATACAGAAATCGATTTATTATTTATGATTAACATATCATGCGATGTAGTAAAATTTGTTTTGTTCTCGCTAAATACTGATTATCGAATAAAAAGAAAAACAACATGCAATAGTGTTCAACAAGAATAACAGAGAGAGAAAATTTAATTAAGCTGCATTCTATATCAACAATGATAATCTTCGTATTTGATGTATATTTTTTTTTGGATTATGTTAGATTATTTAATTTTCAGTTTCTTATAAACAATATTAATTCTACGAAAAATCTTAAATATGTCAAGAAAATTTAGAAGTTTCCAATCGGATTAGGATATTTGTTTTGAAATCTATTTATATTAATGCTATTTATTTTTAACATACAAAATTCAATTCGAATATGATTGATATTTAAAAAAGAAAAGAAGATTAATTTCAAGCAGGAGTTACTTTACTTAAAAATAAACTCCATTATTGCTTTGGTTTCAATATGCTCAAATAATTTTGCTTTACAAATTCAAAGATCTATTATTTCTATTTCTGATGATAGAATACTATTGTTCAATAGATCAGCTTGATCAAGGATTACATTGTATTCGTAAAACATATACTATTCAAATCAAGAAAAGCTTAAATAATCTCCTAGCTTTTAGGTGTTTACTTTAACTTTTATAGATATTGTGAGTCAATAAAAAAACAAAACGAAGAAAAAGGAAAAGAGAATTGATTTATCGCAATGTTTAATGCACATACTATTTTTTTTTGGAGGCGTTTTTAGTCACACGGATTTTTTTTAAAAATAACAATTGACATAGAATGATAGATGACTTAGTTCGAATAGAATTTTAAATACGAGCAAGTATTGACTACTAGTATACATAAAATTTGTAATTATTTTCTAAATAATTGATATCTCTTTAAACAAGGTCCTTTCTTTTTCTCAAAACAATAAAGTTATGTTCAGAAAAAATTTTCTTTTCTATGATTTTTTAGTATATTTCAATACATATGATAGTTTTCTTGTTAGAAAGAGAAGAGTCTCTACTACAAAACTGTAAAAAGAAGTATGTAGTTCAAAATACTTATCGAAGGCTGGAAAAGTATCTTACGATTCCACACAAAGTCAATGATGAGAAGTACATTTGATTGATTTGTTTTGTACTTGGCTTTCAAAATTTTTAGGTACGTTATGTGTGACTATAACGAACGCGACGTGACTCTTTTCTAGTAGTATCAAAATATTCGAGTTACAAAACCATAGATTTTATAGGAAACAACTTTCAATAAATATTTGCTTTTGTAGAGAGTTTACTCAGCGCTAATTGGACATAGAATATGATATTTCACTAACTTTTGATTGTTGAAAAAAATCTTATTTATCGAAAACACTTATTAATTGTGAACATTTTTCATTAGCTAAGCCCGTTAGAAAAATGTTGATTTCTAACACAATTGATAAAATTGAAAATCTTATTTTTGTCTGTTAATGCAAAACTTTTTGTATCATCCATTAACATAGACAATTGTTTTCACCAGTAAAATCTTTTCTCTGATTTGTTCTAATTATTATCGTTAAGGGAAAAAGTCAATAAATACTTTTTACTTCCACCTTACATTTTAAGATTAATTACAAAATTTAATTTTTTATTGAAAATTATTTATAAAAACCTAAGACAATGATCGATTATTTTATCTTATTTTATCTTACTGTTGGTATTGAACAAATTGATCCATGTAAAAAACCTTCATTTTCATCTCTTGAAAATGCAATAAAAATATTTAATAAATTTCTTGCTAATGAAAGCATAACATCAAAATGTGAATTATTTAATAACAATAAAAAACCATTCCATATTATTGACATATATTTCTCTTCTTTATTATTATTATTATTATATAATTTTGTAAGCTAAAAAGAAATCCTATCGAGACAATATTGCAAAAAAAAAAATTTAAAAACTAATGTTTTCATTTTTTTTTTTCGTCCTTATTTAATTCTACTTACATTAATTATTGTTGATGGCATAATTGAACAAATTTTTGTATCATTATCATGACATAAATCAAAAAATAATTTTTCTAATTCATTTGTTAACTCATCATGACCAAGATAATCAATAATTGACTATTAAATGAGCAAAATAATGTTTTTTTTTTTAAATGATTTAGAAATATTTTCTACCGAAAAATGTTTTGCACAAGCTAATCGACACTCTGGAAAATTCTACAAAAACAAAAATTCAATATATAAATATACTTTTGTTTAGTATTTTTGCTCTTACTTTTTCTTGACTTAATCTTAAAAAAACTTCATAAATGAATTTATATTCATCAATTTGAAAAACTTTAAATAATAGAAAATAGTTTAGATTTTTTTTTTTTTTGAATGTTGTTTTTTTCTTACTAATCAATGCATGACATAAATCAGAAAGACGTAATGCAATTGTTGTAACAAATTTCGATGTTCTTGATGATAAACCAAATTTGATAAGTGAAATAATCATTTCACTAATTTGCTCAATGGATCTCGAATCATCGAAATTATTACTAAGATCAAGTAAGGATTCAAAACATGTTTGACGTACAGTTAAATTATCATCTTTAGATAATATAACAAGTAATGGTAATATCAAATTTAATATTTGACTATAACTAAATATTAAATAAAAATTCAAAACAAAAATAGTTGTGTTAGCACAATAAATGTGAAATACGATCTAGCTGTTCGATATACAATAATATCGTTTGTTTCTTCAAACTAGAGAATACGCAATGTGATATTTATGCTTAAATTGAAGGTCAAACTAACAGAAACTTAGATCTCATAGTGTGATGAAGTCTGCTGAAATTTTTGAAATCCGTTTAATTCAAGCAAAAAGAACTAAATGATTCTAATACTGTTAAGCCCTTTCAAGTTAAGCTTATAGAATTTGAGTTTCTTAATCCTTTGGTGACAGACGACGTATATATATACATTATGAGCTTAACTATCACGTGAAACTAATGTAATCATTTATAATGCATATTTTTTCAATACATTCGAGTAAAAGTAAATGCCAAAAGAGCATGAGATCATTTTGTTATCGTCTTAGATAAACCATACATGTCAAACTTGAATACTTGAATTCAAGTTTCAAGTTTGACACTACTGATTTTACCCCAGAAAGAAATCCTGAGTACATATCTGAATAGAGAGAAAATTTTCGATTCTAACTAATTTCTGCTGGCTCTAATCAGCTATTTTAAATGAGAGAATATTTTGTGTCAAGATCGGTTAATTTCATCGTTTTGTCAATATGCCAGCAAAAATAGGTGCAGGTCATTTGAACTGAAAAAATATCATAGTTAGTACCTGAATACTTTTTAATGAAGTTATTTATTTCTATAGGAAAATGTTCCATGAATTTATTTGTAAGATTTCTCGAAATTCGATTAAGTCTGAGAAATCTTTTAAACTCCTTGAAAGTCTGCTTTTTCTCTTCAATTTAAATATTTTTTTTTGAATAAGATTAGTTTATATTAAATTAAAATTTCGGTTGGATCTCATCACATTCGGATCCAAAGTTGAAGAAATTTAATGCGAGTGAATTAATTATTTTGAACACTATTTAGTTAGACTTAATAATTTACTATTAAAATTAATCATTCATGCGAGACAGTATAATTAGTTTTGGCAATATTACAATAATCTTCATTTCAATAGGATAAGATGACTGATTGATCTTTATAAAAATATTCATTATTAAAACACGATTCGATCGGATGTGGATCCAAAAATTCTAGATCCGGCGAGCTTTACTTAATACTTTCACATAGTCTAACAAAAAAATTATTGAATGAAAATAAAAATCGACGGAAGAGTACAGCCTCTGGAACAAGTATGAAATCATAGTTTTGTTTATATTTCATCGTGTATAGTTTAGTTTTTCAGAAAGAATTTCATATGTCTTACTCGAATGATTGAGCAAGAATTGGTAATTTTTGACAAGCAAGTGCACGAATATCAGCATTAGTATCATTGATAAAATTTTTGAATACAGGCAATAAACGATTTTCAATGCTAGGAAAGAAAATTTTTTTTTTTTCTTATATTATATGAAATTTTTTTATTTATTTCATACATTTGTGAATTCAATCGACATGATAATTTAGCTAAAATTATTGCTAATCGATCTCGAACATATGAACCATGTAAACTATTATTAAAGATTAAATCAAGTAACTAGAAAAGAAAAATAACAGAAATGAGTTTGTTATTTTTTGTTTTTGGAAAATTCTTATTAATAATCTCAAACCGAAGTAAATGAAGTTGTATTTGGAAAAGCATCAATTATATTGCATAATGTTTGACACCATATATCACCAAAATCTATTTAAAAAAAAACAAAAAAGAAAGAACTTTACTCAAAAAAACTACATCACACTTTTTTTGGTCTCACCTAATGAAAAACGGTTCGTAGTAGCCGGAAATAATAATGTGCAAATCGTTTGTGAAAATAATGACATAAATTCCGAATAAGATAATGATTGTTGTTGTATTAGAGAAACAATTGTTTCTGCTGCTACGGAATGTTCTCCACTATCAACTGTTTGTTCAATAATTAACTAAATATAATAATATTTATTAAAATAAAAAGATAAAAATTTTGATCCCAAAAACAAAAAAATACATATATACTTTAAATATAGGTAATATACGACGAAATGTTTCATCTCGATCAGAAATAATTACAGATGGAATAGAACGAATACCAACACCACGTTGAATATCACATCGAGAACTATTTATGGAAAAAAACAAGACCAATGAAATTAATTAAGGCCTTCCCCTCTTCCCCTCAAAAATCGATCTCAGCCTAGGAACGTTCAAATGGGCTGAAATTTGAAGCATATGTTGGGACTGAAGTGAGGAGTCTGTGGTAAAATTTTCAGCTCGATATTCCGACGTTTGACAGAGATATGAACCAAAACAAGGATCAAAAATAGCTCATTTTCGTTCCAAGATTTCTCGGTCCGGGCTCTGTCAACATATTTAAATTTTTTTTTGTTTGAAAGAGCATCTCAGGATGCAGGGGAGTATAGAGCCCTTTTTTTAAAATTCTTACTTTTTTCGCTGAGAAAGAGACTCACAAGTTCAATGACTCAAAAAACGCATCAAAAATGGGTGTCCAGTCACATAAGTGTCTGTCTAAATAATAAAAAATAAAGCTTAATTAAAAAAAGGACTCTATATTGCCCTGCATCTCGACGCGCTCTTTCAAACAAAAAAAAAAATTTAAATATATTGAAAGGGTCGGGACCGAGAAATTTTGGAACGAAAATCAAAAAATCATAAACCGAGAAAAAACGAAAAACGTTTTTCGTTTTTTTAAAAATAAGAATATTTTTCAAGAAGAGATCAATGAAAATCATCGAAAATCTTGGCCAAAAAAGAGATACCAAAGAAAAGCCAATGTCGTTTCTGAAAGATCTGAAGACGGGGTATCTTCCCATGCATTTATCTCAATTTCGAAATTTTTGACGAAAATTGACTTTTTTTTAGGGGGAGGGTGAGGCCTTAAATCTATTGAAAATAAAGAAATAATTATACTCAAGCATGGTTAATGTTCTGGCGACAGGTGGTAGATCTTCTTGAATTGTATGTTCACGAATTTCTTCAGCAGTCTAAATGAACAAGATAGGTTTTTTTTTGTCAATAGATTTTCTTGTTATTTTGATCTAAAAATTAAATTTAAAAACTTTATCTCTCCGGATGAATAATTAAGAACAACATGTTTTTTTTCTTATTTTCGAATTGTTCGAATAAATCAATCTTGTCAAAAAGTATGTCTGAAAATTTCGCTGGAAAAAAAATCAACCGATTGTCTGATTATATTTAATAAACAGTGGATGTCAAAATTATTCTCACAAGATTTATTTTCAATTTTTTTTCCCGTTGTCGTAAGCACTACAAAGCATTCGAATAGAGAATATTGTTTCCAAAAGGAATATAAAGAAGTAAAATCTGCTATCAGATTTCCGAAGGCAGAAACTTCAGAAAATCAAAAGATTAGTTTTTCAGCATCCAGAACAAATGAATAAAATTTTGTTTAGATTAGATTGAACAATAGAGTAAACCATCCTCTACAAAACGAGACATCGCTGAGTTCTCTGCGACGTTTTTTTGAATGAGATACAGCAATCTTACGGAAGTTTCCAAAGCTGTTTTTTTTCAATATTTTGATCTTCAATCACATTTCTGTATATCAACAAACCTAGCAGAGGATTATTTATTCTATCGTGCTTTCTAGGTTTAAACAAAACTATATTTACATGCGATAAGTTTGAAAAACCTAGGATTTTGGCTTTCTGAAGTTTCTATCTTTGCCAATCTGATTATAATTTTTATTCCCTTATATTCTTGTTAGAAACGATTTTCTCACAATGAATTTCGGCTTTTTTCCTCTTGTGATATATATATATTGAGGTGTGATTCCTATTTTTCTTCGTACTGAATTACTCGAACAAAGGACTTTCCTAAGTTTAATTCTTTTTTTGTTTTTCGTTCAAACGATAATTTCTAATCAAAATCACTACTCAATGACAGAATATTTGTATTTTTTCGTACTTGACGCATAAAAACCTTGAGCATAAAGTACATTTTTCATAGTTCAAGTACATTTTTCATAGTTCAAGTACATTTTCTTTTTACTAAACATGAGTACTTTGTACTTTAAGTATGCTTTTACTTGTAAGAGAGCATATGTAACTGACCGATGCCACTCAATTTTATATTACAGCTGTGAATAAGCCATGGTGAGGTTAAGAAGTGCTTAAAAGGATATAGGGCCAGAGTCTGTTGAAGAAGAGCTATGGCCATTTTATAATGAAACTTTTACTGAGAGCAAGACATTACCAAAAAGCCCAAAGTAAAGAGTTTTTAACTTGAGATTTTCTCTATAGAGAGATTTTCATAGTCTTGAAAGTTTCAACGAAAACGAGCATATCTTTTTCGAGATATACAACTTCCTAGTTGACTTGATTATTGTGTCCTCCTATAGTAAATTGTTGCCTATAACGAAATTCAACGTCTCGAGATAGACATGTTCGTTTTCGTTGAAATTATCAATAAAGTGGTCATAATTCTTTATTCCTAGTCCGTGAGCCCAAATACTTTTAAGAATTTCTTAATCTTACCGAAACTTGCTCATAGCCATAACATGATATATGCTGTCCTGACCCGAAATTTCCAGTTTTTTCGTTTCTGATTTTCTTCTACTCTACATACGTTTCTAAGTATTCTCTTTCTATTGAACATGTTTTAAGAATTAAAAAGTACCTTTAAAGTTAAAAAAGAATGTAAAAAAATAAAATATTTTCTATGTGAAAATAAGAAATTTTCTTTCGTTTTGTCGAAGTTTTTTCACACATAGTACATCTGTTGAGAATAAAACCTTTTCTAAAAGAACTAGATTATTGAACTGCTGATTTTTAACATACCTTACAAGAAAAGCTCTATTTGAAAAGAACATTTGTGATTTTAGGTACTCTTCGAATCGTGACTTTTCTGTTTGAAGAGAAGAAGATGAAAGAAAACTCATAAAAGTAGACATACAAATGTATTTTTAGCTTGTGCAATAGAATTTTCACTTCAGACAATTGAAGACAGATAAGCGAGACATTGTTGGAATCATTCGACTTTTCTCTTTCTCCATATGACCTTGAAGAAAGCACCATGGAATTTCAAGTTTATGGCAAATTTTACTTTACTCACCAGAATCTGTCTCGTCTTAAAGTTTCAATGTTTTCTAATTAATGGATCTCTAAGAGATCGAAAATAGGAATGAAGATCTTTTTCTACAAAATGTCATTGAGTTTATTTCACTTGAGTACTGTTTCGTGTTATAATTCAACTATACTATTTAAGATAATTCCAGCACTTATGCTATTGAATAAATTTAGATCTGAAAATTTTATATATTTGTCTTTCATCTAATTATTGTCACGAGTAGAGAAAAAAATTATCGGACAAAGTCGACTAGCTGTAGTAAAACATTTTCAAGACTGTTTTATGGCTGCATTTACAACTATGAAGGACATCTGTATCTTACAAAAAGTTATATACTCTACATATAACCAAAAACAAAGCAATATTTTTCAAATAATTTCAAAATTAGATTTCAATACAAAAAATAAAGACATCATCTTCACATATGTTATTAAAATAAAAATAATATGAATACCTTTGTTGTAACAGCAATTTTTTCAAACCAATATTCGTCCAAATCATCTTTACGTCGAACATTTGATATATTTCGACTCATTATTTTTATTTATTTAATCTAAAATTATAACATATCGTTTCTTTTTTTTTCTACTACTTCGTTTTTCTTTTTTCTTTTTATTTTCTTGTCTATGTCCAAGGTAAAAAATTCGAAAAAAGACTAATTCCAATAATAACATAAATAAAATAATAATAAAAAAGAAATGTTTCCTTTTGAAATAAAGAAAAAAGCTTTATAAGATTTCTATTATTAATATCATATGGTTGGATTCTATCAGCACAAATAAAATATAATAATGGTCCACTTGAAAAAAGAAAACGTGTTGATACTTGTATATGCATAAAAAATAATGTAAATAAACTTAAAAATAATATATAAATTATATGTGGAACAAAATCATTTTTTTCAAACCAAATATTTATTTTTGATTGATTTTCTTGTAAAAAAAGATATTTAAATTTATTTTTCCATAAATCTTTTCTTATTAATTTAAACCAATTTATAATAAAATTTCCAATTATAATATATATTGGTAAAGCTAAACAAAAATTTGGTATTTGTTTCCATCTCCAATAATTTAAAAAACCAACATTCCAATATTTTTTTTGTACATATTGATATGATAATGGTATTTGTTTTAAACACCATATAGAAGAAAAATTTTTTAATGGCATTGATAGATCATTATTAAAACCATAAATTTTTAATTCATCAGATATATTTTTTTCATAACAATATTCTTTATATAAAAAATATTGTGTTAAAATAAATGGTAAAATACATAAAATAAAATAATATATTGGAAAACATAATTGTTTTTTTTGATAAGATTTTTTTAAATAATAATATATAATAAAACCAAATGATATAATACCATTTGAACGTATTATTGAACCAAATGAAAAACAAAGATATGAATAAAAAATTTTATTTTCTTTTAAATAAATATGTCCTAATAATTGACTAAATAAAAATAATGTTTCAGTATATGGTGCTAGAAAAAATATTGTTGCTGGATTAATTATATAAAGTATTGATGACCAATATGCATGATGAAATTTTAAATTATATTTTAATCCTAATTTAAATATTAAATATGTATTTAATAATCCAATAAAAAAATTTATTAAAATTCCACTTAATAAATAAGCATTTGATTCAATTAAAAAATTTTTTAATATATAACCTAATGGATGAACAAATAATAATGGATAACCTGGAAAAAATGCTAAAGTATTTTCATATATATATCCAAATCGAGCTATATGAAGATAATGTATTGCATCCCAACGACGTAAACCTGAGAAAAATTTATTAATGCAAATATCAAGAATTGTTTCATTATTTAAAGACCATAAAGGTGGATCAAATACATGTGCATCATGATCTGGAATAATTGTATTTGCAATAAACTAGAAAATAAAAAATAGAATAAAACATTATAATATCATTGGTTTTTTTTTTTTATTTGAACTAACTTGAAGTAAATATTGTACAAATCTAATTTGACAATAAACCCATAAAAGACGTTGTATAATCATTTTGTAAATAATTCGTTACCAGAGAAACTTGATTCGATTTTTTTGATATTGGGAATCCATAATTTCATTGGTAAAAAAATTTTACCAATGAAAAAATTGATTGCAAAAAATTCGTTATTTTACAAAACACAATTTGTATGATGAAAGTATTTTGAATAATTATTATAACTTCCATGTTTTTAAGATAAATTATACAGAATTTTATTTGAAAGAAGTTAGAAAAATACACAAACTTAGATTACAAAAGAAAATAAATATTGAGAAATTTTGTTTCATTTTTTAGATCAATTATGACTTTTCGTCGACCTCGTATTAATGTTAAACCTAATGTACAAGCAACACGTCCAGTTGGTACTATTGTACGACCACCGGAAACATCAATTGAATCAATATCAATTGAATCACAAGAAGAACAATCTACACAACAGATTGATCCTCCCGTAATAGCATCAGAAGTTATTCAAGGTACAAAAATATAAATTGATGAAATTATAACTTTATTCAATTTAATAAAATTAAATATAAAAAAAACAAAGTCATACACAAAAGAAATTTTCAAACTAAAAAATTTCTTAGAATTTTCTTGTTTGTAAAAATTTTTCCAAATATAAATTTAATATTTGAAATAAATCCATACTAATATTGAATTTTTATTTTATTACAGAGTCAATATCAAATGTTGAAGATACAATTGAAGTATCACAACAACAACAACAACAACAACAACCATCTTCACCTATTTCTCTTCCAATTGTTTCATCATCTACATCTACTCCTATTCCAACTCCGTCATCTACTCCTATTCCAACTCCATCATCTACTCCTATTCCAACTCCGTCATCACCTCCACATTCTTCATCACCTATTCCACCTCTTACTCCCACTCCAATAGCAAGACCATTATTTAGAAGAAAAATAATACCAAATATCGGCGTTAAAACAGTAATTCATCATCGCCGGTACATTGATCTTTTTAATACTTAAGCATAGCTTTCATTTGGTTCTGCTCAAGAAGAGAAGAGTTAAAGGAGCAATCATTTCATTCATCAGTGTTTTTTTCAGTAAAAAATATTTTCATCTCGTAGGATGTGAGAAACAATATGTATCCATTTAAAACTTTATTTCTTGACCTAAAAAATTGACCATATATCGCTTATGGTATTCTATAACTGAACAAAATTTTGTAGACGAACTTTTAAATTGAATTATGGTTTTGTTTTTCTACAATTGTTTAAAAGAACTAGAATTTATATAAATCGAAAGAACAAAAACATGAGCTAGATTTTGATAATTAAAATTTTCTAAAAGTAAAGTGTCTATGAAGTGAAAAAACTTATTGTATGATAGACAATTGACGATGTTCATACGAACTTTTTATTATTTTTATTTATCAATGACGAAGAATCTTAAAGTTCGACTTCCATGAGATTCAAGGAGATCATGTTGAATTTACATCTAAACATTAGACATTGTTTGACCTTCGAATTCCCTTATTCCCATACAATTAGTTGACAATTAACATCTAAAATGTACTTTATTTTAGTTTATTATGTCATTCAATTATCGAATAAAACAATAGAAGCAATAATTTATACTTACGTTTGATTGATTTTATGTCGTAATATAATCTGAATAAAAAAAAAAAACAGAATAAATAATTTATACTTATTGTTCGTTGACTTAAATACTTTCCATTCTCATCATAAACAGTCGTTTAGGAGCGTGAATGTTTGACTTAGGTTAGTAAAAAAATGACTTCTTATCGTCCTAAAAAGTATTATAAATATATTTTACATGTTGTGTAATAATTACGCAAAGCTAAACTAGATACTTTAATACCATCTGATCCGATAGGATAACTTCAACCTGAATAATAAGTAATATCATATTCGAAAGAGCATCTTACTCTAAATTTTTCAGATCTCTTACAATTGAAAAAGTTTTTTTGTTCTGGGAAACTTGAAATCATCTGCTATTCTAATAAGCAACTTATTCAGATGTTGAGTTAGATTTTGTATTATGTATTAAATGAATTTGAGATATGTTGATAATCAAACCATATTTTTGATGTTTGTCTTATCGTCTGACTTTTTAATATATTTTACTCTTCAAAATATAATCTAATTCAATTTTTCTTTAAAAAATTCTACATAGAACTTCGTTTTTTTTACACAAGCGATCTGTTCTATTGTAGGATTAAAAATTTCCAGGGAGAAATGTAGAACGCAAGAAAAATTTACTAGAGAGTAGAGTCCATCGGGTCCGGATTCAGAAATTCTTAGATCCAGTAGATTCTATTAGAAGGAAATCACCCTGCTTCGTTCTTCTAATTGTCTAATCTCTATTTAATCTCAATTATATTCATTTTCTTCTATAGACCATCAGCTAGTTGTTCCGGTACCGAAAGTGAAAGTGAATCATCTCGTCAAAAACATGCAATAGCATCATCGATCACAATTGGACGTGTAAATCCACCAAATACTAAGTAAATTTTTACCATTTAACATAGTTTTTTTTTTTATTCTTTTTCTTTATATAGAACAATTGTTTCTAATGAAATACAAATAAATTCAATGTCAGATCTTCCAATAAACGGTGATATATCAACCACAACAAAAGCTGAAGCAATAATAACAGAAACATTTGAAGCACATACACCTTCTATTGATCATAATCATATACAATTATCATCTCGAACAACTACAAAAGTTAGTCGTGAATATCTTACTCAACATATTAATTATCGAGCACAACGACTTGCTGCAAAAATTGAACCTGATATGGTAGATTTCGAATTCTATTTTTTGTTTTTCAAAACAAAAAAAAAAAAAAATTTCTATTATTATTTTAGACAATACGAAAACGTCGTGCAATAACACTTGAAAAACTTGATGAAACTGGTGTTAATAAAGGTACACCTATTGATACATCAAAATTAAAAATAGCTGATTTTGTTCATTATAATCCTGTCTCTAATCCAATGGAGTAAAGATTTTTAATTTTCAATTTATTTATTTATTTATTTATTTATTTATTTGATTTAGAGTTAAAATTAAAACAACAAAAACAGATATTTCAAATGATCCTGTTCGTAAACAAAGTATATCAAGTACTGATGGACAAAATTCTATTTTAGCACCACAATTAAAAATTGATGCTAATGGTATATTAGTTGTTGATGAAGAAAGGTTTTTTATTTTTGTCTATTTTTAATATTTAAAGAATCTTTTTCGTTTTTTAAGTTTATATATACGAAATATAGATGATACACCAAGAAATACAATTATTGTCGAAGGACAATTTAATGATGATAATTTAACACATCAAAGTTATAGAAAAATTGGTCGAAGAAAACGATGGAATAATAGAGGTTTTTTTGTTTGATTTATTTTATATTAAAATTTTAAATTATTGAAATATTTTATTCTTTTTCCCTTGTTTAGATACATTACGTTTTTATCAAGCATTGAGAATGTGTGGAACTGATTTTACATTAATTGCACGTGTTTTTCCAAATCGTGATCGAGATGATATAAAAAGAAAATTTAAAACAGAAGATAGAGCAAATAGAAGTTTAGTTGATTCAGCTCTTAGTAAGATTAAGAATTTCAAAAACAAAAAAAAATTTTTCTCATATTTATTATTAAATATATTTAAGAACAACGTGTTCCATTTGATCTAACATGTTTTTATTCACCATCCGAAGAATCATCGGAAAATGATAATGAAAGTGATATAGATGATGGAAGACAAAAACAAACACGAAAACGACGAATAATTAAACGTAAACAAAAAAAAGTATGTTTTATTTTTTTATTGAACAAGGAAAGGTCATCAACTGTCGAAGTGATTTTTGACTCGATGAATTGAAAAAAACCTTGAAATATTTCGGACGCACTGGCCAAACATATCGAATTTCGCGTATTTATTTTTTAATCACTAAGAAGGGTACCACCATCTTTGTTGATCATTTCTAATTGTCGAAAATAGTACACCCGATCAGGCTGAAATTTTTACACCAAAAATAAGGAGACAAATGTTCGCGGAACTTCTATCGACAAGTTCTTGAATAAGTTCCAGTGTGATCTATTCGATATTTGTACACATGAAGATCTTGAATAGTGTCCTTCCTCACTCACATCTCCTGACATAATGAATGAATCGCGCTGAAACTTATCTTAGAATGTGTCAATAGCACAGTCCTATCTAATAAAACTCTCAGATGGGCTTAACTCTTTCTTGGCCTATAGCCTTCATAGGAACTATTTTATCAAAATTTAGTTCTCTTGAACTATGAGATATTTAGAAATAGATTTTATATCAACTTAAAGCCTATCTAATTTTGATCATAAAAATAATTTTTGAGGTGTGTGTGTGTGTGTATGGTTAGGTTGGAGAGATAGGCGAGCATTATGTCCAGCCACACCTACAACGTGTGTTGTAAATTTCAGAAATTTTTTCCAACAAAAAATAAAGAATAAAAAGTGTATTACGTATCTAATATAGGGTTACGGTGACTCTTCTTGATGATGAAAAACTATGATTTTCTAAGATGTAGGAGATTTGAGTGTTTCTTGGAGCTTGAAAATTCGATAGGTCGTGAATGAAGGTCGACGGGTCGGAAACATTTCAAGGTTTTTTTCAACTTATCGAGATCTATTTTCGAGTCAAAATCACTTAGAGATCTTCCCTAGTAAGATATCATTTTTTAATGATATATATGTATATGTATAGCCATCATCATCTGATCCACTTGAAATTAATCGACGTCGAGAAAAACGTTTACAATCAAGTATGATATTTATGAAATTCTAATTTTTCTTGAATTTCTTTTTTTTTTTTCTGTTGTTTTTAAGAAAAGAACAGTATACGTATTAAGAAAAGTGCAGAATTTATTAATGATGATGATGAAGATGATAGTTCAATGGATGTTGCTGATACAGTTGAAGTTATGACAACAACAAATGAATCAAAATTTGAACAAATGTAAGAAAAATATTCTATAATATAACTAGAAAAGAAAAGTTTTTCTCTATGATTATATTATTATTCAATTCTCTTTATAATTTTATTTTATTTCGTTAATCTAAAGAAAACTGCATTTCAAAGAGATTTAGATTAAATAAGTTATATTTTTATAGAGATTCAATTGCACGAGAAACAATGAAGTTGTTTTTTCTTTGCTATTTATATTCCATACGTGATACAATAAAAATTTTTTATTCCTCTTGTATACGAACACAAGCATTGTTGCTTTGTATTTATTAAAGAAAAGATATTGAAATAAATCGAATGAGTGTACAAAGCATACTGTCTCTCTCTCTTATAGAAATTTTAAATGCTAAAAAAAAAAGGCTATTCTTGTGTTTTGTTTTATATCTTCCAAATGAACAGATGATTGATTCAAGTATTCCTTAATGAGACGTGAACGGAATTGTAATTATCTAACGTATTCATGTTGAATGTTTTATTTCCGAATGAATTATTCATAGATGTAGAAATGTATTTAAATCTTCTATAATTAGTTTTACGTTAATTTTTAGCAGAGTTTTTAAAGAAAACCACTCGTTTTACAAGTACTGAAATGAGTAATTTTGTTTCTGACTTCATCAAATAAAACTCGAGTTGTGTGTATGGACTATACTTGTATGTAATGATTAGATATACTCAGATAGTAGATAATCATAGCAAAATTAATTGATTTTTATTGTGAAAATTTCCATATAATGAGATACTCAGTATATTCATAAGATGAATATCTATTTGGTTAATCATTCAGTTTTTTGATAATTAAAATTTTGAAGTAACAGCATCATACATCATTGTAATAACGAATGGGGCAAAAGTTTTGCATTAATTTTGTTTTTGATATAACTCTGCAATGTAATGTTGTGGAGACTTGATTTTTTTTTGTTAGAAAGAGCAAAGTGTCTAGTGCAAGAAAATATAAAAGAGTTTGATTGGAAATGTTTTTGCGAAAACTACAATAATCTTAGAACAGAAGGCGTTGGAAAACTTTTCCGCAACTTTTTTGAACTTAGAAAAAAATTCCTATAATTAGATAGGTTATCTTTTTTATTCGTCTAATCCGGATTTTATAATATAATGATAGAGCACTATTGCGTTACAAAAAAAGAAATTTTCTACATGTTTTATAACGGTCGAAATGAACGCTTTTATGATATCGTCTGTTTCATCAATTCTTTATCATTATTGGTAGCAATCAAAAAAATAAACTCTATTTTGCAGGAGAGATTGCTAGAAGCTATATATTTTATATGAAAAAGAAAGTTTATTGAGTCCTCTACCAAACAATATTATTTGGAATAGGACGCAACTTCTCTATGACATATTCAGAAAAAAAACTTATTTTCATGCTGCAAAACCAAATTCGAACAATTAATTTGTTTTTATCAACGTGTCTTTTATTCATTCTCTTGTATGTTATACCAATTATTTTAATACCAAATGAAAACCTCCGTTGTAATGAACAACTGTATATATATGGTGCTCGAAACTGTCGAAAGTGGCTAATGAAAAAGGCTCAAACAAATATTTTTGGATTAAAGAAATGTGACCGAAGTTGCGAAAGAGTTTTTCGGAGCCTTGTGTTCTAAAACTATTATAGCCTTCGAAAAACATTACAAATCAAATTCTTTTATATATTTTTGCACTAGACACTTTGCTCTTTCTAACAAAAAAAAATTCAAGTCTGTACGATATTGCGTTGCAGAGTTATATCAAAAATAAAATTAATGCAAAACTTTTGCCCCACCCGTTAATTCTATCACATCACATTAATCTTTAAAAAAACAAGAACAGATGTCTGTCTGAATATAAAAGATAGTTTTCTTTATACGTCTGTGAATTATAATTATATGAAATCTTTGATACTGACAGTTTCATAAAATACAATCTGTCTATTTTTTGACTGAACACAGCCGATATAAATTTATTATTAGAATGTTTGAAAATAGAATCTAATATGCCTACGCGGTTTTTTTTTCTTTAGGATTCCATCAACTCAAAATGAAGAAAATATTTTAGATGTAAGTATTCGAATTTAAAAATATTCATTTTAATTAAATTTTATTGTTTTATTTTTTTTGTATAGAATTCTATAACAACTATAGATGAATTAGGAAATCTTCTAGGTCCAATTGATCAAGGTCATTTATTATTTGTTCATAATACAGATGAAACAGGTCTCGATCGAATTGATGTTCATGTTGTTATGCCAAATACAATTAATAATAACATTGAACAAACTATATTTGATTGAATGAATTATTTTATACATTTCTTTTGTTAAAGTGTATTGAGATATGTATGTTTTCTTGTTCAATGTGTACAGAAGCAGAGAGAGAGAGAGAGAGAGAAAAAAAACAAAGAATTTCGATATGATTAAAAAACTCAATGATACTTATATTTTATGTTTCGTTGCTCTTGTGAACTTCTATTGTTCTTGTAAAATAAAAATAAAAAAAAAAACCTAATTAAACATAACAGTGTTATGGTGAAACAAGTAGCTATTTCAACTGTATATTAATGAAATAGAAGTCTATCACATTTTATTACTGAATAGAAGCAAGAAAGACAACCAAATGTATTGTGATTACTTTGACTTCAAAATAATATATGGGTGAATGACTTCACACGTTACTTTCTTCTCTTTTTATCAGTAACAAGAATAAATTTTTTATTTATCGTTGAGATTGTTCTTTATAATTAAATAGTTTTATAAAAAAGGAAAGAAAAAAAGAAGAAAAACATTCGTGAGAATCATTTTTTTTTCACAGCATTTCAAGAATCGTCCACATTTATTCTGAACGAAAAACATTGGAAAGTAAGATTGTGAAGTTCAAATTTTTTTTTATCTTTAACTTTCTATTTACTTCTTTATAAGTCTTTTAATACCAGCAATGTAATCGGAAGGAACTTGTTACGGAAATTCCGCCTTTATGACCATATTAGCAGAGCGGCCGGAAATCCTTTAAAAATGCTTCTAGAATGGACTCAAATCTCTTTTTACGCAAAAGTAACAGTTTATAAACGGAGGAAGGCAACTAAGTTTCCATCTGATTAGGTTACTATTTGTTATTGTAATCTGATTGTAGCGTTCTAGCGGATACTCAATCAAGTATTAGCTATGTTTCGTTTTATCACAATCATTAATTGAAATATATTTCTCAAAATAAAAAATTATATTGACAATATAAAATGAGATTTAAGAAAAAATACACAGATTCAATCAATTATCGAAAATTGAATTGCTTACGGCATTTAAGTCTGAATCTCGAAGCTTCTAGCAACAAATTTAAAATATTCTTATAATGCTTTTTGCTTCATAAACATTTGTAAAAATCTATTCTTACTCTTAGAAAATAATAATTATGAAAAGTTTTCATAAGAGAATTGAATTTTTAATTTTTATCAAAAAAACAAACAAACAAACAAATTCCACTACATTTGTTGAAGATTATACACTATAGGAAACTATTTATTTTAATGTGAAACAATTGAGACAAAATATAATTAACATGTTGATAAATAAAATATGAATAACAAAAAAACTTCTTTTTTTTTTTTTAAATCTCTTTATCACTTTTAAATTATATTCAGACACATTTTCTTATTTCGTCGATCAGAATAAATAGCTAAAATTAGATAAGATCTAAAGTCGATTAAGATACATAAAAACTCTTCAATATACTTAAGAAAGTATTAACATAGTTTATTTCCCAATTGAAAAACAATTTCCATTAATATGATGAGTGGGCAGAATACTTTTATATTCGGTGTTACATGATTTCTTTTCAATGTCATTCCATGCTTATTCTTTAATTAACAATTTACTGTCAAAATAAGTTGTTAAAATAATGTGCTTACTATAAATTTCTTTTCATGTCGTTTTTCTTGTCTTGTCATTGTTGCTAATCGGTGCCTTACACTAGTTTCAACTTTTTTTTTTTTAAGAAACGACTACAATAAAAAAAAAAGACACATCAAACCATAGTATCGATGACTTTTTTAAAACGGTAAGTTTAATATTTTTGTTATTTTTCTAAGAAATGATGAAAAAAGAAATCCAATTCGAAATACATTCAAAATTGATATAACATTATAGAAAATTTCTTTTTCTTTAGCTGTTTCTTATTATTATATATACATATATATATATCTTATTCATTTCTTACGCGTCCATGCTTTAAACGATTACAAAGTTTATTTTACTTCTCTCACTTCATTTTTCTTTGTTTATGCAGACATTCGAATGTATATACAACTGTAAACTCATTATCAGATGTAGAGAAAAACCCTACAATGTCTATCTATCGACAATTTCCTGTCACACATTTTAAAGAACGACAATCAAATGAGTGTAAACAATTATCGTCTTTAATAGATTGGCTAATATTCTATTGCCTACATAAAAGTAGGCGTTGTCTCATGCAGAAATACAATTGTTAATAACTTTCACCATTATATATATGATTAGGTATTATCTTAAATAGCTTTAAGAAAAGAAGATTATTGCGTTATTATAACAGTTAGTTTTAATAAATGCTTGAAGCAAATATCATCATAGGTTTAAAGTAATTTCTAATTTTATTATTATTAAGAATTTTATTTCTACAAGTAAATGAAATATGATACATTTTGATAGAAGAATGTCATGCTCATTATTTCATTATATCAGATTTTGTAAGATGAATACGATCAGACAGATTATATGTAATGTAATACTTCACTTTTCATTTTCTCTCTAATTTTTATCTAGATTAATGTTTTCTTGTTTACTTTTTTTTCTTTTTCTTCATAATATATTTATAATTATCTTTGAAGATTATTTCTTTGAAACAAACTAATTGATCAATTCATTATTTTTATTCGCATTTTTTTTCTTATATCAGTCAAGCAAAATAAAAGCATATATATATAATTCATTATTTCACTTTTGTTCATCATTTTCGATTCGATCTACACACACACACAGACGTATACACACAGAGATTATCTAAGAAGCGACAAGTAAGTATTGCTCTTTTTTTTCTGTTTTTTTTAAAAGAAAGAATAGAAATTTCTACTCTCATGACTCAACAGTAGTATGTGACTTGTATGGGCGTCTCTTCTTGTTTACTTTGTAAAGAGCATTCTTTTGTATTTTTTTATATAGAATTGAATTTACGTATAAGTTTTATAAAATGTTATTTTTAATTGTTCGTACTCTCTTAAAGAAAATGAAATAGTAAATTTCAATTTTTTCAAGTTGTCGTCTTTTCATTCGAATGTGCATTTCTTTTTCTGTCTTATTTAAAACCACAACGACCGCACACAAAGTTAAAGTCTGTTCAAACGATAGCGTATGTTGTGTGTGTGTGTGCGTGTTTAGGATTTTATTCTATCGTTGATGGTCGATGATGATTAAGTATTTAGTATTTCAGCTAGTGAATTTGACTGCCAAGAGGTAGAATAAGCATTGAACAACGTAAAGATATTGCAGTTGAGTTTTATACTTTAGGGTGTTTCGGAGTTGATGATAAAATAAGATGTTAAGGTAAAAATCATAGTTTATGATAATAAAATCATAGGGTAGGAATATATCAGTTGATTAAGTAATATGGATTATCCTAATAGAAATTTATTGAGTAAATCGGATTGAATATTGAGCTGATTAATTTACTCGGCTTATTTGAAATTTATAGTAACATGAAGGCGATTATTTTTTTGCGTAAAAATAAAATTTTTTAATGAGAATTTTCAAATTAAAAAAAAAGAAAATTATTGGTTCATTTTTTTTATTAAAAAAAAAATCAAAATTCTTTTTTGATTTATTATATAATTGTTTATACGAGAATAACAAATTCTCGTGTGATACATTCTTTTTATTACTGTACAACCTTATGATGAGATAACTTTTCAATGTCAACTTTGAAATTTCTCACGTACTGGGTGGCCCAAGAGTGTAACATGACAAATAATTTTTTTCGATTTTTTTTTTCTTCATACATTAACAATTACGTCTCATATTTAGACCACATATAATAGGCGATATTAATCAAAGATGTGGCATATGATAAGTTTCTTGGTATAGTAATTTGTTTCAAAACATATAAATATATCTTAATTACTCTTATATGACTATATGAAGAACTCGATTCGATCAGATTTTGAACTTCTTTAAATTAAAAGAATATGAAATTCAATTGAATCGAATTTGTTTTCTCAGATTGGAATAAGCAAATAAGAATATGAAAATCGAATGTAACACGACAAACATCAAATTTCTCATATAGTCACAAAGAGCAATTAAGACATATTTATATACTTCCAAACAAATTACTATGCCCGGAAGGTGATCATAGACATCACATCTCTGACTAGTATCGCCTATGATATTGTGGTCTAAATATAAGATGTAACTGTCGATATATAAAGAAAAAAAAAATCGAAAAAAATTATTTATACTGTTATTTTTGGTCCACTCTGTATGTTTTATTTACAAGAAAAATAAACAGAAGTTCAAACAAAACAATTTGTAAAATTAAAAATTGATTATTCATATTAATGATTATCATTAGTGTTTCTCATGGTTATTTTCTAGAAAATTTATTACAAAATAAACATCGAAGATAATCATTTCATAGGTAAAATCAGTAAATACCGTGACTTAAAATCAAAAATTTAACTCATCTATATAATTGGCTATAATCATCGAAAGTAAGAAACTAATGTGCAATTATATATATTTTAGTTTTTCTTCCATAGTGTTTTTTTTCATAGCGTGAGTAGATATAGAAAATCTTAGTATTTATAGGTGTTATTTTTGTTTAATGTCTTTAAATATTTATTATTTTAATATTATAGAATGAGTAACACTTGCATAATTCTCGTCATATTTTTTGCATTGGCTTCATGTATGTTATCATCTTATCTTGATATACCACCGCCACCTGAACGGCCATTACGTTTTAAAACCAAAGAACAAATTGAACATTATCTTAAAGCTGTAAAAGATTATTATGATGCATTTAAAATTAAACTTGTTCGTCGACAAGATGCTTTTAATGATGTCTATTCAAATATGGATAAATCAATAAATGATGAAGAATTAAATGATCAATATTATTTATTGGAAAAATTATCTAATACTTACAAGCAAAATCAACCATCAAGAAATTTACTTAGAGGACGACCAAGAAAAAGTGTTTTTTAATATTAGAAAAAAAAAAATGTTAATTCTATTTAATATTGTTCATTATTAGCAGAGAAAAAAAAACATATTTCTTGACAATAATTAATCACTAACCGAAATGTGTCTCGTATACTCTTTTTTTTGGTTTGTTTGTTTGTCGGACACGCATTTCTTTGAAAACAAAAAAAATAATTGATTGTCATGTATTACATCGGATTGTACGCAATTAATAAAATCCATATTCCCTCCCAATAATATATTTTCATTTTTCTATTGAACAAGAAAACAAAATATCAACATATGTTCATGGAATTTATTTGATAGTAATCTTAAATTATTCAAATTTTAGTTACATTACAAAATGCTGATTTTTGTTAGGAGAAAACAACATGAGTTTTTTTTTTCCATTGAAATGAAAAGAAAATCTTTATAAATAACGATTGCATTCATGAAAGAATTAACGAAATGATTGATATGTAGTTTCAATTTCTTTATCTTGAATTATATATCTATAAAACCATGGAAATGTTTAGGATCACATAGTTTCGATACAAGAAGTTTATTTTCAAGATTGTCTCTTACTTACCTATTTTGTTTTTTTTCTTCAATCAAAAATTGTTTTATCTGTAGTTCAATGTACTCATATATTTATCATATTGAATGTGATTGAATATAATTCAATTTTCTCGAAGATATTTATCTGATGAGAGAACATTTTCTTATTTCGATCTATAGCACTTCTATATATTTATTTTATCAATAAAGCTTATTAGCATGGTAATCGTTTTTACCTATTTTTGGACATTATATTCATGGATTATATGTTGAATTATGACTCTTTTCATTCATATATGAATTTAATTAATTATGAAAAAGCAATAAATAGAAGCGACGCAAATAGTCGTAATATAGAATTACTTGCATGTTTGATAGAAAAATGATTCCTATTCTACTTCCCATAAACGTCAATTTGTAGACATGTAATTCAGTCACATATAACTTCGCGTGAGGATAGGCATGGCATGTAAAAAAATGAATGTTTACTTCATGAAATGTATACATAGATGATCTTATTAGTAAACAGTAATAAAATGTTGATATTTATATTTTGAATTTTTATCGACATTTTTAAAAAAAAAAAGATGAAAAACTATATCCATTGTCGAATAGTAAAAACATCATTGTAGACAGAAGTCCCAAAATAAGAAAACATAGAATTATGAGAAATTCTTAAAGTAACTATGACTTTCGTGTTAGACTTCATGCTCAATTAGAAGGATTCATTAATTATTTCTATATATACTTGTATCTAATGTTTCTTGTCCTTGAATAGATTGTTAGTTAGTTTCTGAATCACTCTGACGACGAAACGCCTCTAGATATCAAATTACTTTTTGACTACGATGATGTTTATTGAATGAGTGCTAGTGAGTAATACAAAAGTCTAGAATAGTTTAGTTTTCTGAACTTTTTTTTGAAACATGAAAATTTTATTGGATTAGATGTGGTAGCTTTCAGGTCACGTGAACAATTGACTTTCGACTTCAAGCTTAGCACAAACAAAATTCTTAATGAAATTAATTCATTATGCAAATTTTAATTTTTCTGGTATTTCCCTATTGGATATGTAAATATATGAACGAAATTTACCACTGACACATAAGAGAATTTCGAATATTGAATATCTCAGGATAGGAGATGCTAGAAAAATTACAACTTGTCCAATGAACTAATCAAAATCCAGTACAATATCAACATCTCAACAATAAAGGCTTGAAAAGCCAAAAGATTCTAGACTGTTCTATCATTCTCTAATACTCATCAAACGAACATCGTGGTCTCGGTCGAAAAACAATTTGACATCTGGAGAAGTTCCTTCGTGAATTATTTCTGTATAATGCTACAGAAAATTTTTGGGTGACGGACATTTCGTACTAAGTCATTCCGAACTCCTGTCATGTGTTCGGAAATGATTTTTGTCCTGGACAACGTTCATTACGAACATCCTGTTTTTTTTTTTTATTTTTAATTAATTTTTGCATTCCGGACTCCCGTACACATAATTACGAATACTCTGTCTTTTTTTCTTTATGTTCGAAGATAGTAACGAACTCCGCCGCCGGGAGATCGTAGTGAAAAATTGGTGTGAAATGTCCCTTTCCCAAATTTTTTTATCGATTTTATTTTTGTAATATTGCAATCAATTGACATAGACTCAATAATAACTACACATAAACTTAAATAGTCCATCAATCTTTGTTCGAATATATGAATAAAATTGATTTTTATTATGTTAATTAACAAAATAATGATAATATCAATAGACAACAAACTATCAAAAAAATAATATGAAGAACATACATGACACACAATAGATAGTATTCTTATATAAGTACAAAAAAGAAGATTATAAAAAGAAAGAAAATATTTTTAATCATTTTTCTTTTCATCTGTAAATTCTTGTTGATTATCTTTTTCTTCATTGGTAAATTTAGTTGATTGCTCATTTCTCGAACGTTTTTCTTGTGCACAAATAATTAGACGTGTGAATAAAAGTAAACCAAAAATAATTCCAGGTGCCATACGATCAAGTTTATCATGTAAAGCATAATGTGTATAAACAGCACCTAACATTAACATTAAAAGTACACTATTCGCCAATTGTTTCAGTCGTCCTTTTTAAACAAAACAAAAAAAACAAGTTTCTATAAATTAAATCAAGACGACTATAAAGTTTTTACTACAGAGCGGAATTTACAATATTGTGAAGAATTATAGAATTATCTGTATTTCATTTTAAATTCAAATATAAATAATCTTTCAAACTTTCTTTTTTATGAAAATATTCAAAAGAATTCTTCTATCTGTATATATGACTTTCAAACAGAACTCAAGTCATCTTGATGTGAAAATAACGAAACTGCAATATTGATTCTAAGATTTTTCACAACACTGTGTATGCTATTTTGTAGTAAAACCTTTTATAGTTGTGTTTAAATAAAAAAATCAATTAACCTGGTCCAACAACTAAAATAATTCCGCAAATAATTTCAATAATACCAATAGTCATTCGATAATTTTTAGCATATGGACGCCAACCAGTTATTTTATAAAATGGAAATACTTTATTAATACGTCCAAATTCATGTCTCTTTTTATATAAAATAAAATGAATATGATTTATAAAAAGAAAACATCGATCTTTACCATATCTTCATGTATATCAGGAAAAAATTTCGATGTAACTTTAAATTGACCAATAAGAATAAAAAAAATACCAATAGTAAGTGTAATAACGAATAAAGCTACTGAACTCATGATCTACAAAAAAACAACAATAACAACAAATCCTACATAAATTATCATTATTAGGAAAAAAATTACTACAAAAAAAAAAATGCACTATCTAACATTCATTATCATGACAATTAGCTAAAGGAATTATTGATTCTTGAGATTCAAATTTAAGTGTTGTATATGTTTGTGTATCAAAATCATAATCAACTGTATCCGATGAAGTATCTGACATTATACAATCATGATCATTTTCTATAGATGATAATTCCATAAGTTGTTGATCAATAGTAATAGGTTCAATTTCAGATGATAAAACATTAGAAATAACAATATCATTAATTGATTTATCTTCAATTGATAATGAACAAGATGAATCTTCTAATGTTGATTCAATAGAAATAATTTGATTTGATGAAAAACTTTCATTTGAAGTTGATTCTTCACATGATATATTGCTTTTTTGATCATTATGCGAAATATTTTTTTTATCTTTTATTATTGGTATATCCAAAGAAATAGCTAAAAATTTAAAATCAATTATTAAAAATCTTAATTATTTCAGATTATCTTCCGAATCAAAAGATAGAAAAGAAAGGAAGGGGGGGGGGGGTGGTTATTTTGTGAATAGATTGGCCTAGAGAGCTGCGATTTTCACCATTGAAAAGAGGAGATAAAGACGTATGGAACCGTATATGAAAAGATTTTTGACTACTTTCCTAAGAGTTTTACATAAAGTTTCTAGAAAAACAGCATACCTCTCATAGTCGTGATATTAATTTATTGATTTTCAGAAGTGTACTAGAACCACCAAATGAAGAGCTACAGACCTATGTAAAGACTCTATTCCTAACTACTACTAATAAGATATTCTCGCTATTGGGATACAATTTATCACCCCATCTTTTCAACAAAATAATCGAACAATGGAAGTTTTTGTAGTGTTTTGATGAAAAATGTTTTTTTTTTAACATATGAGAAAAAAGCAATTTTTTGAAAACTTTTGATTGAAACTCTTAGGAAAGTAGTGAAAAAAATATCTTTTCATATATGGTTCGATACATCTTTATCTCCTCTTTTCAATGATGAAAACTATAGATCTCTAGATCAATCCACTCAAAAAAAAAATACCCATCTGCCTTCTTTTTTGAAATAGACATTAGTAATGTATAACTATTAGCATCACTTGGGTTTTTCGTAGGACAAAATACAGTGTAAAAAAGTATAGAATAATAAACCCTTTGTCTGGTGGTTTATTTTCAAATAAAACTGCTAAAAAAACGTAATTGATTTGAAATGTAACGAGATCCCTTCACGTTGATTCATACTGAAAGAAACGATTGCATAGATGAGCTTTGTTTTTACTAATCCCTTCTGTTGTATGATACTTATCTCATTCCATTAATATCTTTTACAGATATATTTCGTTCTATCTACAAGATTGTCTTAGTAAGAAAAAAAAAAGGTCTTTTGTACATACATCGAAAAAACTTTTTTGAATGATTTGTTTGTATTTGTTTACAAATTGATTCATTTACAGAATTGATTCGTTGTAAAAGATTTTGTTCTTTTTCATCATCAATTCCAAAATCTAATTCTTCATCATTCGCTTTTCTTTGTTGTTGTTCTTTAAATAATTTTCTTCGACGTTTTCGTTGAATTTTTGTTTCAAATAATTCATAACGATGTTTAAGTTGTATTTGTTGATTAAGAGATTTTCGTTGAATTTTTTCATTTAATTTTTTCATTGTTATCATTGATATTTTATTCGATTGATCTTTTATAAAATAATCAATTATTTGAAATAAACGTTTTGTTGTCAATAATGATGCCAATGGTACAGCTATTGGTGTAACACATTTTGGTTTTAAAGTTTTTAATACATCAATTATTTCAGAAAATGATGAATGTAATGAATAACATAAACGATAATTTAAATATGTATCTTGAAATGTTATATCAGTATTTTCATTTCCATAATCTTGATAACCAATACAACGTTTTGATAAATTTTGATCAAAATTTGAATGATATTCATGATATTCAACTAATAATTCACCTTAACAAACAAAAAATGTTTATTATCGATAGTACGAAAAGGATTTTAGTAAAATACGCTCTCAGATCTAATAGACTTAGAATTTCAAGTTCTATCGACTAGCATATGGCCCGAATAAAACAGTGTTTCGAATGGTATTTATTCATATGAATAGAACTTCTTAAAAAAAAGTCGTTTTCCCTGATTTTACTCATATATCATATTATAACAATAAATAGAAAATGAAATTTACTAGCAGATATTTGTTCTGTAAACCACATAATTGATAAAAATATACGAATAGGTTTATCACAATTTCGAAATAATGAACATGGTTGTGTATAATTTGATGATGCTGTACGACATGCATGTAAACGTGTTATTGTTGGATCTGTTGTTAAACATTCTTGTATAATTGGTAAACATGCAAAAAATTCATATTGACTTTGTTCAACATGTACACGCATACCTAAACTATCATATAAAGCTCGAAAAATTTGTTCATAACCAACACGAGCACTAGAAGAAAAAGAAACAAAACAAAAAAAAATTTTTTTTGTTACTTGAAATAAATAATTTAAGTTGATTTTTTTGTTTTTTATAATACCTTTGTTTAAAATGAAAATTTACATTTGATTTATCAGATAATAAAGTTTTTATCCATAAAATAAGTGCTTGACAACTTATTTCACGTGTTGGTATATGTAAAATTTCTGGACGAAAAAATGTCATATCCATATAAAGATTATCAATTGGTTTAAATATATAATTATCATCATTATCTGTTCGTCGTCGATGTAAATGTATTAAACGTTTAGCTTGACCATGATAAAGACGAAAATCACCTGTAAATAAAACATTACCATGTTCACCTTCAATCCATATCATAATTGAACCAGGACAATGACCTGAACCAAAACAAGTTACAACAACTATTTCACCAACATTTGGTGTATGTGATGATAATGTATTTTTTAAACTTTCAATATCTAAAAATTATAATTCTATATAAAAATAAAATTTTGTTTATTTTTAACCTCCTCCTTCTTTTTTCTTTGCTTGTACAGGATCATTCGATTGAATTGTTAATGTAAATGGTTGATCAATTGGAACTGATTTAAAATATGGTATTAAATGACGATATAGAGCCATTGTACTTAATAATTGTTTTGAAATATCAGACATATATATTGGAGCATTGATTTTTGCAACATATTTACCAAATTCTGGTCGTTCAAGACCAACAAGATGATCCATATGAATATGTGTTATAAAAAACATTGTACTTGTATAATTATAACTTTCAAATGAATCAATTGATATAAGAGGATATTCTTCTAATATACCATGATAAGCACTCATCTTTAAAATCTAGAGAATTTATTAACATTTGTATTTTACATAAACAATAATGTTCTATCATAAAAGTATATTAGCAATGTATATTATTTCGAATATAAATAAAAATTAACAACAAAACAAAATTTTATTTAGAATTCGAATACAAAATGAAACAATATCACGATATAAATTCTTTCGTTTTATTCTATCAAACAAAGTTAATAGTATATATGATTCTTTTCCAGATCCGGATCCTAAGTTTTATTTTTTGTTAGACCCAGTTACATCTTTTTGTGATCCGCTGCTCTTCAGATGAGAAATACAGCAACAAGATATAACTGTACATTGCATTTTTTTCTAAGAGTAGCGAATAAATAGCTAAAAACCTTGGGTTTGGACTCGGATCTACAAAAACCTGGATCCGCAATTCCGTGCACTCATTGATGTGGACGTAGAAAAGACTCGTATCCACACCCTTTCTTCTTGCAAATAATCAATAGAAAATATCCACATAAGAAAAATGCTAATACGAATATGCGCAGGGTGGGCTAAATGAACTGATTTTTTTTATTGCTGATAGAGGAATGTTTATGGATCATATCCATAAGAAAATATTAAAACTACCCTTGGCTTCAATAAATATTGTAACTTTAAATGAGCTTATGAAAATTGTATTGTAGTGTTCTCAATAAATCCTAGCTACTTATGAGTGAAACGTTCAGAGTACATGCAATATAAATTTGAGACTCAATAGCAATAGTTTGAAGAATTAATCAAAAAAAAATGATATATATTGTTAATTTTTTTTATGGATATAATTCATGAACATTCTTCTATCAGCGACAGGAAAAATCAATTCATTTGCTTCAAAGATGATGGAAATATTCAAATTGTTCTTCGATAAAGCCACTTTTGGTTCATTAGGTATTTTTAATGTAATCAGCCGACAGTAGTAAATCGTGCCACTGATCTGGAGAAGTATCGTGTGTGTGTATAATTATTTGTTTTTTTGTAATATCTAACTTATTAAAATTGAACTTCATATTTGAATATTGAGTATGAATATTATTTACACCAATCAAAAAAGAGATTAATAATGTTGCACATTGTTTAACAAAGTGAGCTGTTCAGACATATCAAACAAAGAACCAATCTTATGATTTGACATTTAAATTAATTAATTGATATTAAAATCGTTGAAGACCCTTTAATTTTATTTGAATACTAATGATGACAATTTAAAAAAAAATAGATATATTGTCCTACATGAATGCAAGATAAAAAAAAAAACAGATATTGATTAGCGCCATCTCGTAAATGTTTTACACTTGAATGAACAAAAGAAAAACAGATGTGAAGAAGATAGATCAAACGAAGTTGTAATTGTACAAACAGAAAACGACTAGAGTGACAAAATAATGATCTGTTGATAAAAGAAAATGAACAATAAAATAAATTGATTTTGAGAGAAGATTTTTAGTCAAAAGACGAATAAGCACAAATAGAGTTTTGAAAAGATCACATTGAATTCAACATTTTGAAATAAAATAAAAAAAACCAAACAAACAAACAAACTAATCACAAACTGTTTATTTTAATGAAGAAGATCGTCAGTTGATTTTTTTGATGAATCAGTATTCGATGA